ACTCATGGAGGAACGGGCCTAGATCCAGCAGTCCATCAACATTTGTAAATCTCTATAAATAGGAGAAGTAATGGAAAGAAAATGGGGAGATATTTTTTTGGTTGAAATACAAGAATTCTAGAGAGAGAAAGAGGGAAGGAATTTCTTGTATCTTCAGCTAACCAAATATTAATATTTTTATTTATTTATAAAGAAATAGAACGTTTGAAGGATGAAAGGACTTTTTAAAGTCGTTGGAAGCTCCCCCAAACGGGAACTTGTTATTTTACTCTTCTTACCGACATTTTTTACCCCTTCTCAAAACACAAACAAGGAAGAAATGAATTTTACGGTCTCTTATCTTTACCCTTTTGAAATTCTCAAATAATGGAAGAGACTCCTACACTACGTGTTTCCATCCTCCTTCTGTCATCTCTTGGAAGAATAATCACCCTGATTTCTCTCACCTTTCCTTTCAAACCTATCAAATGTAGCGTTAATAGGATTTCCTTTTCTTCAGCATGGTCCACCTCATTGCTCCAGCCTCCCCACAACTAAATGCATGTGTGACTTCATCTTCGTCCCTACCAAGACCAATCAAAGCCACATCTCTCATGAATTTGATGACCCCATCCCAACTCCTCCTAACATTTCATTTATCCATTTTCAAGTTTTTACTATTCTCCCAACCGTGACCTCCATCTCTAAAAACACACACACACACACAAATTAAATATAGGAGATTGCTCTTTTGGGTCAAGCCCGGACTTTAAAATATAGGCCCGAAGTCAAAACAGGCAGGCTTGAGCCCACGGACTTTCTCCCCAATATTACCTAGCTTAACTCTGAGTCTCTGACCTTTACAAATAATTTTAGGAAAGAGAAAATAAAAGGCAAAGAAGAAACTAGTATTTTGCAACAATCTTGGGCCAAATTCATTACCGTACTGAGAGGAGAGGATTAGAAACAAACTCAACATTTCACATTATAAAGTGAGTGCTCTAAGATTTAATATTGCACCAACCTTGATAATATTCCAAAAAGAAGATGAGTTTAGCATATTTATAAGATAAATTCGAAACCAACAAGCCAACAGCATACACTAAAGATAAATTACTCATATAGAAATAGAATCGAAACCAAGATTACTTCTCTTATCAGCCGCAAATTTCACCGGTGCACTTTCTATGCTCTACACCAGAATTGGTAAAAGATGCCAACTATTCTTTGTTTTTCCAAAAAAATAAATAAAACAATACAAATAAAAATAACGTTGTTTCATATGATATAAAAAGAAATATGGTTTAGAAGTTACAAAGATCAGTAATGCGAAGACAGAGTTCCTTTATATGTTATGTTGATGATCAAAGTCTCAGCTACTTGGGTCCTGCTGCATGGTGTCTTCTTTACTAGACTTAAGTAGCTGAGTTGGGTTAGGCCTTGTAAAAATTGGGCAACCTCCTATGAGAGTCACCAAACCCCACAAAAATCTCTCATTATTTTCTTTAAATAAAGCACCACTAAATTTGGAAGTTTAAAAATTAAGCACCAAAAAATACACAAATGAAGATAGAACTGGGTTTGTGATTCTTGTTGGAAAAGAAATCAAATAACGAAATACAAACTCATTGCTATCTTTTTCATGCAGTTTAGGCAGACTATTTTTAGGCCTGTTGGCCCCACCAGTCCGGTGAAAAGTCTCCATAATATAACCGGAATACTATATTCTCAGCCAGTATCCAATAAACCAAATGGCGGTGAGTTGATTATTTATTACTTCAAACACCCAAAAAAAAAAAAAAAAAAATTCATAATAATCTAATTGTGTAATATCAATTATGAAAATTTATGTCTATGGACATGTTAATATACTCCAGCTTATGTATGATCACCTTCCAAACATTGATAAAAATATATATATATGTTAGAACTTTTTATTATTCGAAATTTTTTGTGTCCCGGATTTTTTTGGAATCATTTTTTTATTATTATTTTCAATTTGGTAAGAATTTCTCCAACTTATGTGGACTATTATCTCCCTTGTCAAACCAGAGAACCAATTTGTCAAAACATAGACCACCCTCAATTTGTTAAAGTATTTCCAACCATAAAATGGGTCCATCCTGACTTTTCAGTAACTTGGTATACTCCTCCGGACCAATCACTTGAGATAAACATGCCATGACAAAACAAAGCTCTTCTTTCAGTCTCCGTCAAAAGGTTCAACCTTCTTACCTTCACTTTTGGGGTTGCTGTTACAAATGATTCTTATATATATATAGCCATCTTTTCCGTGATGGACCACTAGAATATATTACCATTAATGGTTATGATTTAGTTACTAAAATTCTCGACTTATGTATATAAATATTGGTGAACTCTATACTTTGTAAAGTAATCTTCTACAATCTACCAATTCCTATAAACTCTTCAATGTTCTCTAATCCTCCATCTATCTACAACACTCCACAATAGAATTCCTAATGACGGCTATAATCCATTACAATTAATGGTTAAGGTTTAGTTACTAGAATTCTCCGCCTAAATATATACAGATTTACAAACTCTCTACTCTTCAATCTACCAATTCCTACAAACTCTTCAATGTTCTATAATCATCCATCTGTAATCTGCAGGGTCTAAATACTTGTATGTTCAGCAGATATGAGGTTCCAGAGATTTAAGTTCAATAAAGCGGGAACCAATGAATCAAAACAACAAATTAACAACTGCATAAATAGAACTCAACACATGTCCAATTTCTTCTCTCTTTCTACACACATATGATACCACGTAAAGAAACTTTACAAACCTAAAACACACCATACCAAACTGCAAAGTGCAAACAATAATCAATGATCATCCTTTAACATACGGCTGACACCCTCACATATACAAGGTATTGTAACTGCATGTGTATCCTCCAAAACTCAGTCTCACCATCATCTCTGAAATTTCTTTGACCTAGTTTCTTCAGGATGCAATTTTTTCCAACTACTCATGCTATCAAAATCAAGACAAATATCTGATGCACCCATTAAAAGTACTCTTCTCCTAGACCAAGTAAGCAAACTATGTGCACAATTCAATTGAGATTTCAACCCAGGAGCAAATTCATGATAGCTGACTTCTAATGTCTTCTTATTCATAAAGAGCATCAGAATTCATCTAGTGTTGCAGTACCACAGATTATAGCAATGCGCACGTGAAAAAAATTATTGGCTCTTAAGTTTAGTACATTACAGTAAACAGAGGGAACATAAGAGATTGATGGGCGAAATACACTATTTTTGTTACCTCGGTTCAATCATCCCTAAGGAAGGTGAAATTGAAGATGATGCCTTTATAACTAGAACATGACAGATGATGCCAGTATTATGTTGCAAAACTTGCCATGGATTATGGTATCAAATAGGGTGTTGTATTTAGCAAACTAAAGTAATACTGAAACAAGAATTAGGAGCAAGAAAGGTGGACAGACAAAATATAGAAGAGTAAAAACAATTGAGGCACTTGAGAAAAAACAACATTAATGCGAGACAGAATGCATGTCAACTGAGATCATTCAGTCATTTGCTTGAGGCCAATAATAACTGCACTGGTAAAGAGCCATTCAGCTCTAGTTAGAGAAAATAATAGGAAAAGAGAAGGCGGGAACAAGAGGGTCCAGTAGAACAGGAATAAGTACCTATCCCGCCATAAATAGCAGGACTTTAGTGATTTTAAGCTATAGTCTTGCAAAAAATCCTCTTCATCAAGTACATCATAGTCTTAAAATTATAAGGAGATAATATCAACTCTAATTCAACTCATTACCAGGGTTGTTAAATACCTTAAAATCTGAACCTTAGAAGGTTAATAAACAGAACAAAACAAGCTAATTTCCTTAATAAAACAGATTACTGGTGATCTGTTAGTGTAGTACTACACATAAGCCATGGTCCTTAGCTGAAAGAGGTACACGATGAACCAAGAGTTGGATATTTAAATGTTTGGCAACCAAAAAGATTAAGTTCTTAATGAAACCTCAAGGCTATTCTCTTTTTACTATGGATAGTCTTCCTTAATGATGGAACAAGATTTGCAAAAGCAACAATGCATAATAAGGATAAGTTTGTAGCATATAGAACTGCTAGAACAATCAAGGCTCCTACCGTCATGACATAACATTTATATACACCGTTATATTTCTTAAAACTCACTCTTAAGCTCTCATCCTCAAACTTTTAATGTTGTTTCCTCTGTAGAAACAGAGAAAATATCCTGATCCTATAAACAGTTGATGAGAAGAGTTCTCCAAAGTCCAAACTAAACATCAAATCAGTCTTTGCCCAAGCTAATGACTTTAAAGCATAAACTAGGCTTTATATTAAACACAACAATACCTTGAAAGCTGATTTCCTTTAAAGGGCTAATGAATTTTACAAAATGTATCGCCTTCCACCAATTCTACAACTTCACAAGTAGTATAAGAAGTCCGAAAAGTGAGCGATCTTAAGATCATGATGTTAAAATGAATGAGTGGCAACAAGAAAAAGATTGGATCAGAAATAAATGCATTCTCTAGAAGTCAACAGTAGCACCATTGCAACAATTATATATGACAAGAAATATGAGATTTACTTATTTAAGATGGTTTGGCTACACGCAACAAAGACTGATGAATGCACTGATACAGACAAGTGCTTTAGTTCAAGTGGATGAGGCCAAAAGGAGTAAGAAGAAAAAGAACGTGAGGGTGCTGAGAAATTGCATCATTACAAAGGATTGAATAGAGGACATGGATACCAAATGATGAAAAAGATAATTTAAACAACCCCAAGTTGTTAAGATGAAGGTTTCGTTTAATTAAACTGCATGACAATTCATCAATATTCACCTGTAATGTCATCAATTGGAAAAGCGTCTTTTTAATGAGTAATCCATTCAAGATGTAACTCCAGTAAATGTGAAAATTGTGTCAGGGTAACACCAGTTAATCTCTAAATCAGAACCCTACACACCAACAAAGCTCAAAGACAAAGAAAAAGCATCACTGATTTTACCATTTAAAGGAGTATATATGGTACCATTTAATTTTACTCCACCAATTTCCAAACATCAGATCTCAGTTTATGATTAAGTTACCTTCAGAACAAAAGTGAAGGCAAAGAATATAATCCCCAAGCTTGATCTCTGATTGCTAGTCTTCAACTCTAACTGTGTACAAAAGAACAGCCTCATGTATCCAGAATATGCAGAGATGTCTTCACAATGTTGAAATGTCAGTTGCTAAGAGGTAAGCATAACATGGAGATTATGTTCAAGGTGACACAATAAAATAAAGCACATAATAAAAAATTATTATGCCATTCTTTTAAAAGGGGGCTTCTTCATATATGAAACAAGAGCAACTAGACAAGTCACAATCCCATCCAACACTTGCACATAATCAGGCAACAGAGCTGAGAGCTCCCTTCTCACACTGCCGAACTGTCAATCTGAGGAGTTCACTGCTCGTTTGGTTCAGTTGGCAACATAATCGCCTAGGTGCCTATACAAGAACGTTCCAAATATGTTTATTAATACCTTAATACCAAAAACAGAAATGTCCAAGAATTTCTATAATTGAAGGAAAATTTAGACAAAGAAACACTAACCAGATGCCAATTCTTGCTCAATGGATGCCCCAAAACCTGAATATTTTGCACATGACGGAGTGGAGGCAGACGTGGAAAGCACATAACTTTCCTTTTCAAATCATCTTTTCTTGTGGCCCGTCCATAGAACCCCAAAGTTGCATTATTTTCCTTTCCCACATCTTTCAGGAAAAAAAGAATCGGCCTCTTACAAACGGATCTATAAGGATCCCTAGTGTCAAAATCAAATTCATTCCTGTTACTGATTCTGTTCCAAGCAGTGTATGTCTTCTCTGAACGCTCCATCTCTCGAGGAAGCATTATGTTTGGGAATACTTGAACAACATAACCAAGTGAAACCAAAAATGTTAGTCGCCTGGCATGGTCATAACAAATTGAACGCTGCAAAAAGCTCCTGGGTTCAACTCTCATGGCTCTAGTAAAAAGTTTCAAGCTCTCCAGAGTGCTCAATCCAGGGTAAAAAGGGTCCACAGCTTGAACATGGTGAATTGAGACAAATGGAGCAATTGGGTGGGAAGATAACAAACCATGTGCATTACCCCTTATATCCCACTGTGAAAACACACACAAGTAAAAGAAAATGAGAAAAATAACCTAACAACAATGCTGATAAAACCCCAAAAGGAAAGTAATAGAAAAATTGGGGATTGATAAGAAAAAATCACCTGGTGAAAGCCATGTTCTCGGGTAAAAGGAATACCCAGTTCAGTAATGCAGGCATGGAGTCGATCATCACTCCCGTAGAGCTTGGGATACCTCTCAAGACACTGGTCCTGAAACTTTGTTAAAGCCTCTGCCAATGGGTGACTTATGGCAATCCCGCCACCACCGAAAGCCATTGAATGACTGAAATAGCTATTGGCAGAGTGGCTCTCCGAAGGACTACCAATGTAAACCATCTCGGATGCGTCGTACTTGCTCAGAACAGCCACCAGATTATCGGCGTTGAATATGGTATCGTCATCTCCAAGAACAAACCATCGGACATGTGGCAAACCCAAGCGAAAGCTTTCCGCCACAATCCTCGAGATCCGAAGTCCGGAAGGGTGGCCGGTGGGATTGGTGTACCGGAATCGTGAAATGTCCTCGGAGACCATGATCGGCGGCAGAGAATCGTCTCCCTTCTCCGGGACAACCTGCTCTTCCAACCAGACGTGGCCGCGCGTTTCGTCCGGTCGCCACCAGAGCCTCACGAATTCCTTCCGTTGTTTCCAGAGCTGCGACGAGCCGGCGATGCCGAAGACAATGTGCTTCAGCGACAACTCCTCCGAAGCGCCGTCCTGCCGCCGCCGCACTAACGCGGTGTTATGCGGTGGCGAAGATAGGGAAGAGGAGTGGAGAGAGAGCGACGGAGAGGAGGAAGAGAGACTCTTCCTCAAAATGAAAGAATTAGGGCTTCCTTCCCAGCGCGTGAACCGGTGCCAGCGAGGTGGGGTGGTCCCGGAGAAGACGAGCGACAGCCACGCGGCAGTGGCAATGAGCAATGCCACCACCGCCCCGACGGCGGTGCCGGTACGGCTCTGCCTCCACCGGCGGCTTCGCAATCGGCTGATATAGTTGTCGTCGTCATGTTGATGGTGGTGGGGCGAAGTCGTCAACTTTACTGACTTCATCGCCGCCAACGCTCATCTCGGCCGGCGGCCGGCGCGGAGAGGGATCACGGAGAGTGGACGACGGTGGTAAATAGGAAAATCCGATATGGAGGAGAGTTGGGACAGGAGAATAAAAAGAAGGTTCAAATTTTAGGGTTTTGGATATGATTTTGGGGGTTAAAGTAGAGAGAGAAGATGAAAACGAAGCGATATATATGATAAATGATAAGACGATCTCAACGGAAAGGTGCTCCAGTTTAAATTCGCGTCACTTAAATACCAGTAGTAAATTTAGAGTAACGAACAGAAGCCAACTTTTGGTGCATCACGTTACTTTTGAATCGGACAGGGTTTAAGACCCGGATACACTCGTCTACATTTCTGTTAACATCATCATCCATTCAATACTTTTTAAATTTACACACTACATCCTAGGCGCAAGACACGTACAACAATGACGCAGCACTCCAATGATTTATGTTTGAAAATGCAACATATTTATATCAACAACACATGTACAACATAATACAAGTATCTGCTCCTCCCTCCCAAAAATAAATAAAAAATATTTTATTTTTCCTTTTTGTGTATTCCAAAATAATTGTCACTTCTATTTTTCAAACAATATATTTTACATAACAAATGCTAAATGCAATCGTACAATTGACTGTGCATCACAAATCTAATTGGTTGAAAAATAAGTTGTAATTAATGTTACTTTCCTATTTTGTTGGAATTAGAAAACTTCAACTTTGAGACCAAATTATCCTTTTTAAATTATTTTCTCTTTCTTGTACTTAATAACCTTCTTTCTTTCCTTTGTTACATATATTTAACTTTATTTTTTTCTTTATTTTTAACCATGGTCTTCTTTTTTTCTTTCTTCTTGATTGGTTATACATGGCTATACTTTATTCTTTACTTTCTTTCTTTTTTTGTTCACTTGTCTTTTATATATATATATATATATATATATATATATATTCCACCTGGATGGATTTTTTTATTTGATTTTATGTAATTTAATTGAAATAACAACATGAGATTGATTTTTAATTAAAGTAATATTATAAAATTTGAGTTTTAGTTAATATATAAAATAAGAGAAATATGGTTTCAATCTACTCACAGTATGGTTAACTACTATATATAAAAAATAAAAGAATTAAAAAAATAATAAAAAAAAGGCAATCAATTCACATAATTTTTTTTTCCCCTCTTTATCTAAAGAAGATGGAAAAATAGTGATAAACCATTCACACAAGGTGAACATATTATATATATATATATATATATATATATATATATATATATATAGTTAAAAACAATTGAAAAAAAAAAATTTTTTAAAAAAAAAAGAGAGAAAGAAAAGAATAAGTTAAAAGAAGAATAAGGTAGGTAAGTAAAGAAGAATGAAGGATATATACACACGTACATGCATGAGACACAAGAAATATAAAAGGATGATTTGGTTTTAAAAGTTAAAATTTTATAGTTTCAATAAAATAGGAAAGATGCATTCATTACAACTTTTATCATTGGATTTTTCAACCAATCAGATGTGCGACCGTAGATGCACAGTCGCTTGCGCGATACGTAACTGTGTTTAGCACTCCTCATTTTACAAATTTCCATATATGTCTTTCTAGTTTAAAATTTCAAACTTGAATATTCAATAGTATGGCAAATTAATAACTTTTCAATGAGACAAGACATGTCCCACATGCCCTCTTAAAAATTAGGACAAAGCGACATCTAAATTAGTACAAATGGATTTCAAATTGCAACATAGTTGGTATCTCTGTCTGTTTTTTTAAGGAAGATTATTTTTTAGAAATTGTGATTTATAATTTGTGAGTTATAATTTTTTAAAAGAGACATTTATTTTAAAATAATAAGAGTATCATTAATTTGAATTGCAGTATATTATATTAGAGTTCTAAGAATAAAGCAGTAAATTGAAATTACCTTATGTTGTTGCCATATTAATGCCCTAGGTAGAATTGTCATTTCAAAATTATAAATCAAACATGACTCAAAATTTCATGATACATTAAGACAATCATAGTCAGCAATCTCATGAAGGGGTGAAAAAAAAATAATAATAAATAAATAAAAATCACCATAAATGGTAACTTTTTGAGTAATTTCCCAACTTACTAAAAGTCGCAATCCCACTCTTGACTCTACAAATAAGGGAGTCAGGCATTACTATTATTGGAGAGGTAATTAAAAGTGGAGTATTGTTGCGCGTCCACCAAGATGGTCTCTCAATATCAGACCTCCCCTCCTTACTAGACTGCAATGAAAGTTAAGCTTCAAAATTCCCATTTTCATGAGGAGTCTATTGCAGCAGTAGAGGAAATAATAGAGAAAAGCATCCCATCTCTATTTATTGAAAATGCAATAATTCCTACCTTTCCATAAATGACAGCAAGCAAAAAATGAAATCAGAATTATCCATTTTCTTCATTCAGTGTCTCCAGGGGTATGTTTGGTTAGGCAGAAAATTTTATGGAAAGTGAAAGCGAAAGAAAGTGAAGTAAAAGAAAGGAAAATCAAGTTTCTATCATGTATTTGGTTAGCAGGAAATATTTTGAAGAAAGTTATAAGAAAATATTATTTTATTAGTTTGGATAGCATGAAAAGGAAAAGAAAATGATTCTACTTACCCAAAATACCCTTCTAATTTTAAATAGTAAAAAAAAAAAAAAAAAAATTATGTTTGATAAATATTATTTATACTTAATTATTTATTTTAGTAAGGAAATAGTGAAATATGGAATAGAATAGTATGTGATATCATAATATAATTTTTTTTGTTTTCTCCTCTCTCTATATATATTCACTTGTTCTTATGTAAACTTGCATTCTCGATCTTTAAGGTAAGAAAAATAAGTTTTTGGTAAAGTGGACTATCAAAATTTAAGTATTTATTTTCTCTTTATGTTAGTTTTAATTTTAATTTTTATTATTTATTTATAAATGATGTAACTGAATACTAATATCTAATTACAACTTTCTCACTGAGAAAATAATGTCATAGACGATTATGTAAACTATTTACGAATCATCAATTATTTATTTCAAGATAATGTTTCATGTTAGGTATGAAATAAGTTGTGTTAAGATAATGTAGACTAATTTTCACCTAACACTCTTATTATCAACAAATAGTTATGTATATATATAATAACTCTTAATCATTATCAATTATAGAAAAAAATATTTTACTTATTTAAGACATTTAAAAAAAATGGAAAAAAATAATTCAATAATAAAAGGAAAAAATTAATTAATTTTGGATGCACAAATAAAAAAATACAAACAATTTAATTAGTAATACATGATTTTATAAAAAAACAATTTACAGAAGAAATAAACTTTCCTTTTCAAAGAAGTTTATGTAATTAAGTAAAGAAGAAAAGAGATAACTAACATGGGTATAATAGGAATATAACATATAAAGTGCACAACTTTTGCGAGAAAGTAAATTTCCCTGCGTTTTTTGCACAAAAAATTTTAAAGAAAATTTTCAGATGCGGAAAACCTATTTACCCCAAAACTTTTACTTTCCCTCTGACCAAACTTCCAAAAAATTTAAATATTTTCCTTTTCTTTTCTTTTTTGGCTACTTGACGCTAACCAAACGTAGTAGAATAGCTCAAGGTCATTTTTTAGGGTGCCAAACTCAAAATTGGGCCCAAGTTACCGAGAAATTATTAGATGATCTTGGTCCACTAACACTTGGCGGACCAGTTAAATATAGATTCTCTGATTGAAAAAATGATTCCACAAGAGTGTATTAATAAATACCAAGTTTTATAATCAAAGGGTTTTAATTGAATTAGTTCACAAAGTATCAAATAGACCAGGACCATCTAATAATTTCTCCATATTACCTGTTCAAATTTTATTTTCTATTCTCATGATATTAAATTGGATTCGCATTAAATTTGACTTACCTAATACCTTAACATAGGTTTAAAAAAAATACTCACACACACAACTAGAATAATATTTATGTTTGGATTTTTTTAGACCAGGTCCAATATATATATATATTTTTCTTAAAAAAAAAAATCCTAAACACATGGCAACTCTGGTTGAATTTAACCGATGGACTTATGGCCAGAGGTAACTTTAACGGGCTCAAAGCATTACGAGTAATATGTTTCGAACTGTTTTTATTTTAATTTTCTGTAAAGAACTTTGTTGTAAACTCGCACACCAATTTTTTTTTATGGGTACTTGAACCTTCAATAGCTATTTGTTTGCTTGCGGTTGTTTGATTTCGGTATTGGGCCTTATCTTGTAATTTAGTTCCGGGCTTGTTCATCTAGTGTGTTCCAATTGTCTTCTCGGCTTGTTGGCCCGAGGCCTTTTTTTACATACCCGTTACATAATAAATATATATACTTGCTTGACTTTTTGTAAAAAAATAAAATAATAAATAATAAATAAATTTCAACCTTCACCTTTTGCTTTGGGGAGGGAAGGTGATAGTACTAAATTATATTTTTGGTGTTAAAACATTAATGTATTGGGAGTAGTTATTTACACTTCAAACTTATTATTAAAACTTATTATTAGAAGCTTCACAACCTGAGAAGAAAGTGGTTCTCATATTCTTAGCCGGAAAAGAACATAATAGAATAGATGCAAGAGTGAAGAGAAAAGAGTAAGATTGTATATTCTAATCCTTTGATACATAATAATAAAATCTCTCTCTTTCTCAATTTTAGAATTAGATTAAGCATGTAAAATATTATTTTTTGGGTGAATACGTATGATTGTTATCTCCATATATGTTTGTATGTTCATGTACTGTGATGATATTTTTATTGTGTGTGATGAAAAATGAATTTAACTCTCAATAACAACTTACCATTGAGTGAGTTAGAGGGAGTTAATAATTCACAACAACAATAAGCGTAACCCATGTAATAAATGGATTAATACTTAACACAACACGAAATGACTCAATAAGACATGTTTAAATAATTTCTGACAAGAACACAACACGTTTATTTGACGCCTTTGGTTTTGTTGCAGGGAACAAGGCTTGCTCTGAGTTAGCTCTATTGGGCGTTAGTTTATCCATCTTGAGCGACTGACTATCTATTCAAAGTTTGCATGAGTTCTCTTTCCTTTCTCAAGGGTGATGAAACCGAACCTAGGAATGGGATTCCAATTTCTATCTGCCACAATTTGTTCGATTGAAGCAGTATTAGCTAGAATGCTAAATCAAATTTTAGGTTTTTTTTTTGAACCCCTATTTCTCTGTTCATAATGAACTTTTCGGATTTAAAATGGCATGAGTTGCAGACTAAGCTATATATGACTAATTAGGGTTTAGCTCTTCTTTTTTTTATTAAAAAAAAAAAAAATCACTTTTGCAAAGAAAACAAATAAGTGAACTTAAACAACATTTTCTAACTTGTTGATTACACGAATGAAATCCGAATAGTTATATCTTGATTTGTTACTCTCACACATTTTTATAACACGACTGTTAGTCTAACTAGTTAGTACATTAATTTCTGTTTAGATTTAAGTATGTACAAAAACTCTTACTTAAAACTTGAGTCAACCATCATCCCTAACGAGTAAACCTTTTCTAACAATAATTTATATTTTTTTTGTAAGTAACTTCCCCCCTCTCTATTCTCTCCAACAACATTGTTCTTAGTAAAGCATATATATATATATATATATCCATGTAATGTATGAATCTTTTCAATGGAGGGTAAGTGTCGTGTATATGTGAGCCACCTTGATTGACAATCACTTTTTCACAAAATTATGAAATACAAAACACGTTTTATATTCTTTTATAAAGGACGGCCACTCGTGGGAGTAAAACATTTATATATAAACAATAGATACATACATAGGACCACTAATTCCTTCCAAAAATTGAATAAGAAAACGACCACCTAATCCCCAATCCAACCCCACAATGGAAGGGGACCAAATCATAGTCTACATCTTTTGAAATCTTATTATTTATTTGGAGCACAATAAGATGGGAAGGAGCCAAAAACAAAACTCTCAAAACATATGGGGGTAGTGGTGGGAAATTTAAAATACAACTAGTAAAACAAGTATCAGTTTGAGTGGTAAGTGTGACTTACCTATCAAATTAATATAAATTAATATAATAAAATTAAAGAGTGAGAAAAAATTGTGGACAATGACAGTACACACTCGTTTTAGGTTCGATTTGGTTAGAATGAAATTGCAACAAAATAAAGGAAATGAACATTTTTTGAGCATTTTAAATGTTTGATTAGTAGGGGAAGGAAAATTTTAAGGGACAAACTTTTTATAACAATCTAATTTTCTCATAAAATTTTCTTACAAAAACACTAAATTTTTTTTATTTCTTGATAGAGTTTTATGAACTTACAATAATACCATTTCTTTTACGGTAAGTTTCGTGTTATTTAAATCATAAAATAATAATTTTTAAAATAATTTTACGTTAAACAAATACAAAATAAAAATTATATTTTCTGTTACTTTCAAATTCCATACGGTGTCTATATGTGTGTGCTTGTCCCCATAGCATGCAAAAAATACGGGAATCATGGTGAGGTGAGAGAGTATATATATATATATATATATATATATATAATTATTCCTTTAGCAATGACAAACATCTTGAAAAACTTTATAACAAAATCTTGCAGTATATAATTGTGTCTCTAATCATTACATCAAATTACATATGTGGGAAAACTGCATCTTTTGACCTCCTTTAGGGCGGAAAGTTTAGAAAAATAAAATAAAAAACTAAATCCTCTGTAAAAATGATTAGGGTAGGGGCTTTTGTGGCAATGGAGTAAGTAATTCCAATCAATGTCGAAAATGATGTTTCAACATAAATCTTTTACTTATTAGGTTAAATAAACCAAAGGTCAAAGCATTTTTACAAGATAATAACTGTACCCAACTCCATAATGTCAATAAGGCAAAAATGAGTAAGAAACTAATTGAATTTTCAGAATTCTGGGCCGATCTTGTACTCTTAAAAAAAATTCAAATTTTCTGAAAGTAAACATATTAATGAATAAGTTAATAATTACTACCTCTGTCCCAAAAAAAGTGTTATGCTTCGGGACCGTGACAGTTCAATTTAAGAGAGTCACAGTTCCCTAAAAATGACACTTTTTATGGGATTGATGGAATAATACTTTTTATTAAATTCTCGTTCATATTAAATATAATTATTTATTTGTATATTTCTATAATTAACAATTAGGTCATCTAATGCTAAATTCAAAATTTGGAAAATAGAATCCAAGATTTCAACAATCATAGTACTAAATTTGAATTATGAATCAATTATAATTTTGATTTCACCCAAAACAATTATAATTTTGATATGAATCTAATCCATTGGCATACCTAGTTTCTCTTCTTCTTATTTTAATTGCAGTTTTGGCATAGGAGTTTACTAAATTGCAATTCTAATTATTGGTGAATCAATTTTATTTTATTTTTTTCATTTTCTTTTTGCAGGCTAAATAAGAATCAATTTTGACATCTGCTCTGCTAATGAAAATGGAAGAAAGGCAATATACGGTAGGACGTCAATATCACACTGATGAATGTCAAATGTCAACTTTGTCTTTTTAATTAATAGGGTAGAATATGTCAAAATGGCGTGAAAATAGCCCTATTACTTTAAATGTTTAGAATTACGTAATTGGGTTTAACACTTTGAATTCGCCATCAAATATATATAATAATTCTCCCTTTTATATATACTGAACAATTATTGAAAAAATTTAAGTAAGAGTGACCAAAAAACACAATCAAGTTAATGACAAATATGTCTTTTTAATTAATAGGGTAGAATATGTCAAAATGGCGTGAAAATAGCCCTATTACTTTAAATGTTTAGAATTACGTAATTGGGTTTAACACTTTGAATTCGCCATCAAATATATATAATAATTCTCCCTTTTATATATACTGAACAATTATTGAAAAAATTTAGTAAGAGTGACCAAAAAATGACAAATATAAATAGACATTTTAAAAAAATGAAAATCAAAAGTCACTCTCAAATAAGATTTATTGCATTCGATCCAAACATTATTTTAATACAAAATTGAAATTGAGCGAAATTCATGTGATTTAAAATCGTTATTAGTGAGAGTCACAATCGAGGTGATGTCAACATGAATTGTGACTGTGCTAATAATGTCCCTTTTTATATGTATATTATTACAAACACTATTAATAAAAGGTGAGCATGTATTTGTTATATTCCCCGTAAAATGCCTATGTGATTTTTAAAATATATAAAGTAGTTAACGAGATAGTGTCACACATATTTTAAACATAAACGCAAGTCTACAAATGTTGTATATACAAACGTGGTTTGCAAACACTGCAAGCAATCGCATTTTATAAGGTAATTTAGATGTTTATTTTCAATTATAGAGGTAGTGACGTAGGAAAACTATACCTCAGCTAAAAATTAGTACAGACACAATAAAACAAGTTGGTCTAGTTTTAAATCATTTTTTGACAACACTATGAACGTGATATGGAGTCCATTTGAAATTAGAGAATCTCTCAAATTGACCTATAATACTGAAATTTGAGCAAAAATATATAGATATTACATTGATATTTCGTTTCAAACACTAATCGGTACATTAGTTTAACACTTAATTAAGTTTCTTGCAATTTTAATTTTAATTTTAAAACACTAATTTGGTATTATAAAATATTAATTATATACATTAACACTTTGAATTCAAAAAGCATAAACATAGAAATTTTATAAAATTATTAATGAATCAAATATAATTTTTTTCGCTGCAGTATATGTATATGTATATACATAATGAAGACCCTCACTTAACAGTTACGTAGTTAATATTAAAAACTATTTATTAAATATCAAAATTTAAATTAATTCAAATATGTTTGAACTTCTAACAAATTTTTTGAAATAATTTAAAATTTTAATAGTATGAATTCAAGGCCTTAAATTAACACAATTCGTACTTCCCAACAAACCTATAGACAAAGAATTCTACACCATTAAACACCATATAACTAAATCTCATTTTCTTGTGCATATAAATACAATGGATGCAAATGTTTGACCAAAATAAAAGCAAGCCACATTTTGGTCCATTCGTCTAATCTGAATCTTGAAAATCGAACCAGTAATAAAAGCAAACCATATTAATGTGATTTGAATATCGAGTACAAAAATCTGAAGAGTCATTGTATGAAATTTAAACCAGTTACCTTATATCCACGTAATAATAGAACTACTAGTCCTCATATGAACGAACATAGTGTAGGTGGGTAGAGGGAGTAGGACCCAAAATACATTTTGTTTATACTTACATACATATACAGTTATATATATATATATGATATACACAGAGATATACGTATATTTTATGTTTCAAATTTCAATCAGCTATTTGTCTGTCTCTATATTTCTCTCACTCTAGATCTTAGATCGGAACCAAAGCGTGTCGGATTGTGCTGTCCCATGGAGGCTTCCTCACCATCCACGAATGCGTGCAATGAGTCAAATGGGAATAGTTTGAAAATAGTAAGACGAGTAGTAGTAGCAAACGAGATTGAAACCACAACCACCGCTCGGAGGTGGTCTTCTTCCTCCATCCCTTCATCCATTTTCTTATTATTCTTTTTCCTTCTCTTCGCTTCTCAATTCACCTTCCTCGTCGCTTCGCGGTCCGTACCCACCATTAGTCCTATCTCTCCACCACCGTCATCGTCAGTATTAAAGACCACACAGCCAAAACACACTACCCACTTGGCAATTGAACTTAAAATCCTCATACCAATCCTCGTCTCTGCTCTGTTTCTCGCTCTTCTGTTCGTCATGGGCTTTCTCAAGTTTCTCAGATTCAGGATTAGACGCAAACGCAGCATAGTTGTTGTCGCCGGCGATGGAGATCAAGACCGCCGTGAAAAGTCGTCTATTGTTGAAAGTTCGTTGAGGAGGTTCAGTTGGGACGAAGTTCAGAGGCTGACTATGAATTTCTCATCGGTGATTGGATCGGGTGGATTTAGCACGGTTTATCTTGCTCAATTCTCGGATTCCACTTTGGGTGCTGTCAAAATCCACAGTAGCAGCGAGCGTCTCAACCGAGCTTACAAGCAGGAACTGGATATCCTCCTCCGCCTCCGCCATGACAACATCGTCAAGCTTCTGGGTCACTGTGATGATCGAGGTGAGAAGCCAGAACCCAATTGGGTGGTTGTTCTTTTTTCTTTCTCTTTAATCGAATCACGTTTTTGATTGTGCTCACATGGTGTTTGTGCTATTGTTTCAGAAGAAGGTGTTCTTGTGTTCGAGTATGTTTCCAACGGAAGCTTGCAAGAGAAACTCCATGGCGGAAATGGGTCGGTGCTTTCGTGGAAGACTCGGATGGCGATAGCGTTCCAGCTCGCGCAAGCGATTGAATACCTCCATGAACAGTGCGACCTTCAGATCGTCCATGGCGATATTAAAGCTTCCAACATACTGCTCGACGAAATGCTGAATTGCAAGCTCTGCGATTTTGGGTCTGCGAAGATGGGGTTCTCTTCCACTGTTTTGCCACCGTCGTCGTCGTCGGCGAAGACAAAGCAACTGATGATGGGTTCACTCGGATACGTCGATCCTCTCTATATGAGGACCGGAATCGCATCGAAGAAGAACGATGTGTATAGTTTTGGGGTCATTGTTTTAGAGCTCATTACGGGGATGGAGGCCTTTTGCTCGGAAAAGGGGAAGATGCTGACGTCGATCGCCGGACCGATGTTGGTGGGCCATGGGTCGGGGGCGGCGGCGGTGGCGGAGATGGCGGATCCTCGTCTTGGTGGAGGATTTGACTTGGAGGAATTGAAGGTAATGGCTTCGATTTCAGGGCTTTGCCTTGGAGTTTCGCCGGGAATCAGGCCATCTGCGTCTGACATATTGCGAACTATGAGAGAGAAAATCACTTCCATTTCATTCTTGTTCTCAGAGGGTAAAAAGGTTTGAGGAATGTCAATTGAATTTAACCTGTACAAAGAAAGATTAAAGAAGATATATCATTCATTGATAGTGAGAGTGAGATTGTGTAAATTTGTAAAGGAAATCAAAGGATTATGGGACACTCATGAGTTGTTTAGTGGACAATTTCATCTTAAGCATGGCTTTTCTTTCCTCTGTGTTTTTAATAATCTTTGGAATCAAATCTTTTCAGGAATTGGGTTTTGACCATACTAAAGAAACTGAGAGTTCTTTAGTTTAGATCTTAGAACATTGAAATACGGTTTGAAAAACAATATACAAAATAAAACAAAAAACAAAGGAGTGCAGCTGGATAACTATTTCCTAGTTTCACAAAATCCAATCATTTCAGATTATATGATTTCGTTTAATTACAATCAAACACACAAAATAAGCATATAATAATTAAATAAAGTTTAATTCGTGATGTGTAACATAACTTTAGAATTTAATTTTGTTTTGTTTCTGTTTTATGTTTTCTTGATCATTCACGGTGGGTATTGGGCTCACTGTCTGTAGCTTGAGTAAAATTTCCTCAACCTCCAAAGTTTTAAATAAAGAGAAAAATTTTCTTACAACTTTAATATCCCCTCACTTCCCTATTAGATGATCATATTTAGAAATAGGAGTTTTTAAGAAAACATACAATTAATATATTATTTTTTTTTTAAATTATCAACTTGTCCTTTTGTTTAAATAAGTATAATTACTAAGTTTAAAATTTTTTTAAAATATAAAGGTCAATAATAAGAAGATGGGTAAAATGTATAAAAAAAAAACTCTGAACTATAGGAGTTTTGCAAAAAAACTCCATAAACCATGATTTTGTTGCAATTTACCACATGACGTCGTCTTTCGATACAAGAAAAAAGAGAAAGACCCATTTACCCTTATCAAATATTGCGTCGTTTTAACTTATACCCTTCTTACTTTTTTTTTTTCCTGCCAAAAGTTGTGTTCACCAAATACATCCCAAACCAGAGAGCGGAAAGAGAGAGAGAAGAGACTAGAGATGATGGCAGCTTGTGCACGGAGGACTCGGCTATGATGAGAGCTCGTGGAGAGCTTGGTTGACTCGGCCATGAAGAAGAAGCTAGGTTGCAGATGGAGGCGACGACGATCTCAAGAGGGCTCGGCGGTGAACTATGGAGAACGACAGTATGCTCGACTATGGACAGCTATGGATGGTTCGGCTATGGAGATGGCAGCATAGGCATTAACCCAAAAAATTAACACCGACGAGGTGGGAATCCCAACATTGCAACCACCCCCTACCAATACTGCGACGGTGCATGGGTCCATCTTTCATGGCCGTTTCGACATTCTCTCTCTGCGACGGTGCCCCCCAATACGCTAATCTTCGATCTACGGCGAAGATGGGTCGTCTCACCCACGACGGTGAAGCTGACGATTAAAGTTTCGGGGCAAAGAGCACCATCGGTATTGATGAATGGCTCTTAGGGTTTGATTGGAACCAATACGGCTTGTGGAAGAGGTCAGCGGTGGTGACGGGCTGGCTGTGACGGAGCTATGGCAGAAGAGACCCACCAATCCCAATATCAAATTCCTCGGCTTCTTGTTCTGTAAATGGCTTTTGATTTTTTGATTTTGATTTTTTATTGTTGTTCTCAAAATCCAAACATATTGATGGAGGAATAACAGTGAATTAGTTAGGACTTGTTTGGGTGTTTCATGAGCATTATAGTCATTTAAATTTGATAAGGGTTGTATGGTCATTTACATAAATTTGGCCTCTCACTTGCAAGGAAATTGATCGGCCGATTGCCGGATTGGGTAAAGTGCAACAAACTGAATAGTTTAAGGGGTTTTTTTTTGCTCATTTTGAAATTCAAGGGTTTTTTTGTTCATTAGAATATAATTTAGGGGGGGTTTAATGCACCTTATCCTAAAAAGATAAATTTTATTTATTTTGACTTTTCAAAATAAACAACTAATTTAGTATATCTAAAAATAATATCATAGAGTGCTAATACGAGACGTTATCTGTGACGTGCCATCAACAATTGCATTATATATTAGCTAGAAGGTTAAGGCATTGAGACAAAAGCAGGTGTTAGCGTGTTTCTGATTAAGATTAAAATAAATAAATAAATAGTGGGCTAACCTAGAAAGGTGAGTACGGCTGGGTTCACACTTGAGGCCCAACATGACCAATTAAGTGTTTATACATATATATATTATTCTGACAAATAATGGTCACAATGGTTTTGGAGGGAGGTGAACTCTCTCCCTATTGCTTTAATTTTTGAAAAAAAAAAACGAAAAAAAAAAAACTCTCTCCCTTAAATTAATGTTAAGAAATGATTTAAATTGATGTTAAAATACTTTAAATTAATGTTAAGAAATGATTTTTTTTTTTTTTTTTCTTATAATTGGAATTTGAATCCCTCCAGCAAGAGATATTCGTTTGAAACGTAAGAATGAAGTTGCAGTTCACTAATTAATTGTTTCAGCTGATTCGAAAGGGTTACAAATCCAATCTCTTTCGCATATGACATATGCTAAAATGAAAAAGAGGAGGTTTTTTTTTTAAAAAAACATTTTTTTCAATACGAACTAAACCGGTTTAGGCCCGAGGCCTGACTTGAAAGCCAGAAACACACTTGGGCTATTGGTGGGCCACTGGCCATTGCTTTTGGTGTTTTGACAAGCCTTTTTCACTTTCCTAATTGTCACGTCAAAGGAATTTAGTGATGTGTACAAGCTATCAGGATTTGTGACTCATAGCATTTTATTATTTTTATATAATAAAGTACTACGTAAATTCAATTTCATATTTTATATAAGTAATAAATTTGTTCCAGTGCCCAACTATTATAAATAAATATTCATCATAGTACCACTAAAATATTCAACAAAACACCCCCTAACATTATAAATAATTTATATAAATTATAAATTCAAAGAATGAATGATAATTCATAATTAATACAGTATAAACATACATTATTATGTACACAACTTTATAGTTTATGTCCTCTCTCTCTCTCTCCATTTATATGATTCTGGTCAGGAATGATAGTGACTGTAACACTAAGTCAATATAATAAAACTTTTATTTTGATTTGGAAGCCATCATATCCATATTTGTTACCATTACTCCATACTATTATTGTTTTTTATTTTCTTTTTGGGTAAGTTCAATGCACTATTATTTGGATTGTTTATTATATCTTTTTTTTTTTGTTTTTTTTTTGGTAAAATATAATACTGTATACTATGCACACTAATTTTATCTACACATAAATTTCAACAATTTTTTCTACAGATATATGATGAAATATCACAGTATTTGACTATTTATACATGTGTCGGCCATGTTTCTAGTAAAAATAAATAAATAAAAAAGAAAAGAAATTAAAGTCATTCCATATGATGCGGGCAGAAGATTCTGGAGAGTTACACACACACACACTATTGGTATTGGTGTTGCTTTGATTCATGATTATTGTGGGTTGCACTTGGCATTGCGTAAAAAAAAGTTGATAGGGCCATATCATTGCCTTCTTCCAAAAGAATGGACATGAGGGAAAGGAATTGAAATGAGAGGAAAAGGGAGAGAGAGAAAGAAATGAGGTTGGAGAATCATGATGTGGAGTATCTTCCACTCAAACCCAACTCACACATCCGATTCCTAAGGCCTGCGTCTGTGCCACATGAATTTCCCATAAAAGTAGAGGGTGTCATGACTCATGACCGGAGGGAATGTGTGCGAATATAAATACACATATTGATGGGTCAAACCCACTTTAGCTTTCTCATATGCAATCATTATATATATATATATATATATATATATATAGTTATCTAACATTAATCTTTACAAGCATATAAGATAATGCGGGACAGAATTCTTCTGAATCAAAGTGCTAGCATTTTTGATATGTGTGTGTCACTGTGCGAGTTTTTATAAATTTCAACTTGAATTTGAGTGGGTTGGGATTTCAACCTTTAGTGTAGGACGGTTGTTGGTGGGTAGGGACTGAGGGAGGTTGAGGTTGGGCTTTGTTTGTCTTTATTGTATGAGAACTCTAATAATTAAGGAGTTTTGTGGTGCTCTCCAAATTAGAAGAGGCAATCAATTATGGAGGAAAGATTTCTGAGGGGGAAGTCTACAACTTTTCGAAGTTTCAACTTCGATCATTGAGACATTTCATCATTAAAGACTCCAAAGAAAATGACTTCCACTCTGAATTTGTCATGAATTCTTCATGACCCATCGGTGTTTTTCCATCCCTCTTCATTCTATTCCCTCCAATTCATTGCTTCTTGCATTGGTAAAAGTATCGATTGTCATGTGCTACAATGCCATTTTTCAATCTTATGGAAGTAATTTTATCCACTCATACCAAAAGCTAGATTTCTATTTACTTTGTGAGATATGACTTTTTCTTTTGTTTTTTTGAGTCTTAAACACGCATAGAGACAAAATGGGCTGTCAATTAATATAAAAATTTAGATCCAATTTATTTCATAAATGTAGTGGTGGAGGCTCAAACCTAAAACATACTGTAACCATATTGAAATTAAAACTTTGATACCATATTAATATAAGTTAAAATATATATATATATATATTATTTTTGGCAAAAAACGAAAGATATCAAAATCTAAAAAAGTAAGGGAACATATGAATGAATGTGGTATGGTATGGTAGGCAAAAAGGGAATGAAGCTCCTCAGTTACAGGTAAGTTGTAGTACTATTCAACTGCCCCATGTGTGTTGGTCTAATCCATTTGTAACATGGGCCTATAGCCCTATACAATGCCCAAACAAGCCACACCAACTCTCTACGGTTTCAACTAATTTTTACATGTTTTGAGATTACACGATTTTAATCAATCAATTACATGCCGTCACATATATAGCTGTGTCAATTTTTTATATTTGTGATCTTATGTGATTAGCCAAGATCATGTACTCTGATCTGATGCTGCAGAGTCAGCAAGCACAGTGATCAAGTGGTTGTGTACTTGGAGGTCAAGTATTCTGTGTTTATGGTAGCTAATTAAAGTTAGTTTTGGGAATGTGTTAAAGGAACATTTAGTGAAAGGGTTTAAGAATCTTGACACATAGTAATATAAATAATAAAAATATTGGTTTTGAGGCAGCTAAGTGGGCATCAAAAGCACCACTTTGTCCAATGAAAATGAGGGTTGCCTTGCTAATCGAGATGGCATAATCATTGCCCATCAAACACCAACAACAAAAAGGTATGCCTTTTGGATTAATCTATAATTATCATAAATTAAACTCCAATTAAATATTTCTTAGGCACAAATCATGTGGATCGTGGGAGGTGCTAATGCGGTATAAAATGCACATTCTCCATATTAATAATGTCAAAATAAAAAAATAAAAGAAGAAAATTTGTAAATTTTAAGGAGCAAAGTATATATGAAGAGGGTGTTTTCATCTAAATATACCAACCAACGATTGTCCTTGTCAGCCGTCTTTTTCATTTATTGAATAAATAATATTTGTAGTTTTCCAAATATAACATAACATAATATAAATTTTTTTTTTTGTTGATTTTCTACAAAATATGATAGAGTCACTTGTCACCACGTCTGGGGCATGGAATTCAATAATTTATAATGAGAGAGAGAGAGAGCTGATGCGAGATGTTATATACATGATGACATGGAAAGATCTACTAGTTTTGAAAGAATTTAAGATCAAAGTGAAGATGAAAATGTCCTCTTCTATATACCCAAAATTGGTTAAGATTAAATTGTTGTTAGTTTGTAGACTATAGTAACTTTGATTTTTTTTCCATTAATTGATTTTGGCAACAATCAATAATTATTATGATCTTATGAAATTTTAGCATCTCTAAATTTCTTTGTATATATGATCATATATATTAATCAGGTTATCAATTATTATGATCACTGTTAATGAACAATGTTTTTTTTTTTTTTTTTTCTCTGAAAATAGAAGAACACATAAGAATATATTTTTATTGCAGTTCTAATATTAAGTAAAAAGTCAGAAACATCCATCTATATTTGTGTGAATGAGAAATAATGTCATTACAATGATATCATTTTACTCACTGGTTACTTATATTTTTTTCTTAGTACTCACACACACACGTATGCCTCCACTAAAGTTCAAACTCCTGACTTCAGCAACTTACTTATCATTTTCTTTTCAATTTTTTTCCTTTCCTTTATTTTGTTTTCCCCTAGCGTCCTCTTTTTCTTTCAATCTTTTTCTTCCATTTCTCTTTTTGTTTTTTAATCTTCCCTTGAATTTTAGGTTCTTAACCAAATAAATGAAAATACTCCTCTCCCCTTAAATTCTCCCTAGCTCTTTGTTTTTTTTCCCCCCCTTCATTTTTGTCATTTCAAACAATACAAAATTATTGTTATGATGTCAATAATTCTGGGTAACGTGGTAGTATTAAGAATGTAAGGAGTTAAGTACTATTGAAAGTAGAAACAAACCTCTCACCGAATTGTGAATTTAATTTATTTGAGTTCCTTATGAAGTCACGAAGAGTGTTTTAAAGACTAAAGATTGAATTTTTGAATAAAAATACCTCAATCAAGATACCTATTATGTTATTAGACCGTTTTAATGTATAAAGATTTAATCTTTGAAAGAAAATGAGAGTTTTGAGTTAAACTTATTCGAGTTCACTTTGACATTCCGAAGATTGTTTTAATGAGTAAAAATTGAATCTTTGAATAAAAATACCTCAATCAAGATACCTATTATGTCAGTAGGCCTTTTTAACGTATAAAGATTGAATCTTTGAAAGAAAATAAGAGTTTTGAGTTAAACTTATTCGAGAAACTTATAAAGCCGCGAAGAGTGTTTAATCGAATAAAAATTAAATTTTAAATAAAAATATCTTTATTAAAATACTTATATCACTAGAACTTTTTAATATATAAATAACAATACAAAATTATTATTATGATGTCAATAATTCTGGGTACTGTGGTACTATTAAGAATGTAAGGAGTCAGTACTATTGAAAGTTGAAACAAACCCCTCACCGAATCAAAATAATTGGTCCTGAGCATTGCAGCCTTTGAAAAAGTCCAAATTTATTGAAGTCCTTGTCGGAATTAAAATTTAATTAAACGAATTATAAGTTCCCAAAAAATTAATTAAAAAAGAAGAACAAAACTTATAGCACCAATAGTACTACCAATTCCGGGGAATAAAAAAAAAAAAATTTAACATTTGTTTGCTGCTTTGATATTATAATATGTTGGGTAAATACACTTTCGTTCTTTAAAATTTGGACAAATTAAGCACGAGATGAGCATTTAGTGTTTATTACTTTGATCTTACCCTCACCTAAATTACACTGAAAAATAATTTTAATTGTGAAAAGTTAATAATGCTCTTATATTAAGGTAGGACAAAATTATCATTTTATAAATTTTTGTTAACGAATTCTAGAAAAAAATATTAAAAAATATAGTTGAATACATGTGTCAAATCTTAAAAAATATTAAAATAATAAATATTGAAGAGTCTATTCCTATATAATTTGCCGGAAGTCAAAATAATTTAGTAAATTTATCCTTTCATTTCGGAGAAGAGTTTAGAGTGAAAACATGTATACAAGTAAATTTACCTATTATTGAAAAAAACAAAGAAAGTGTAGACGTGTAGGATAGTGGTTTGGTCTCTGCCACCAAGGAGAGTATTCAAGGCAGAAAAAGAAAAGTTTATTATTGGTTAATTCATTTTTTTTTTAATTACACTTTTGTCCAAGTAAGTTCCGGTGTCATTCAAAAAAACAATAATAATAAATAATAATAATTCATGTTGTAATAAAGAAATAATTTAATATGACAATTCAGTTTGCGACTTTGTGAGGCCCCTCTTCTAGACTTATTCTCCTCATTGGTTTAACTCTGTTGATGGTAAAGCAAAAGCGTTCATCACAAACACCTTTTTTATATTTTTTTAGTCTCTAATAGGATCAAGGAATATGTACATTTAAGTACTCCAGGTTTTTTTTTTTTTTTTTAATGTGTGTGTATATATGTGTGTATTTTTTATTTTATTTTAAAGAGTCCGCGTTTGTTTAATGCATTATTGGGCGGGGGTGGAATTATTAAAATACTGAAGAGGAGTGCATGTATGCTAACTCTGTATTATGGTTGAATTGTGCTCAATATATATATATATGTTTTAATTTGTTAACATCATGAAGTATTAAGTATTGTGATTAAAATAAGTCTGGTTTCGCAACTGAATTGTCGTATATACATTATAAATAATTCAATTCAGACTTCAATGGAAAAATATAGAAAACCCAATTAATATATAAAACACATACATAATACATTTTTTATTATTTATTAATTCATTTTAACAAATCATGTGATTTATTTATTAGAAATTTTCTTACATGTAGAGAAGTGTGGAGTTGGTAAAATGTTGTGGAGATGAGTGTTGCAAATTGAAGGCATTATAGGTGTCCGTGACTTTAGCATTGTACATAAAAGTAGATAGCTGCTGGGAAGGTGATGGGATGTGCATTGACTTTTATCTCTCTCAGTTTCGTCGATCTCCCTCTCTCTATATAAATAAACCACACACACTCTCACAAAACTGCCTTAAACCCACCTCCCAACTTCACCATATCTGTGTGTCCTGTTCCTCTGCGTCCAATCTCACACACTTGCATTCATTCCTTTTTATTTTTCTCTCTCTCTTTCCCATGCACACAGTTGAGCTTTCAGTCAATTCAATTCATTAAGGTTTGTGTGTTGAAACTGGCTCAATCAATCTTCTTCTCTCTTCCTTGAACATACCTTTATAAAAACCATGGCCGGCCGCTAAGTAATTGTGTTTCTATCTGGTTCCTTTGGAACCCAATTTCAAAAACCCAAAAAAAAAAAAAAAAATAGATTTTTATTTTTCCGCTCATTTATATGAAAGAAAGTCAAACCCATCTTTCATTAAGCCTCTATTAGTCACTCTCTTGTATTAATTTGTGTTTGCATTGAAACTGGATCAATCCATTTTTTCTCTTCCTTAATTATATCTTTATAAAAACATGGCCACCAAGTAAGTTTGTTTCTCTCTGGTTCCTTAGGAACCTCAATCCCAAAACCCAAAAAAAAAAAAAAAAAAAAAAAACACAAAAACAGAAAGAAAAAAAGTTCAGAATGCCGGAATCGGAGACAGGTACACCGACGGCATCGGCGCCGGCGACACCAGGGACGCCGGGAGCTCCACTGTTCAATTCACTGCGAGTGGACTCACTGTCTTATGATCGGAAGTCAATGCCCCGATGTAAGTGCTTGCCTCTTGACGCCCCTACCTGGGGTGCGCCTCACACGTGTCTCACCGACTTCCCCATTCCCGATGTCTCCCTCACTCGCAAGGTACTTACTTCTCTCTCTTCTCTCTCTCTATATCTATATCTATATATATTTATATATATACACACAAATATATGAGCTCTATCTTAGAGTAGTAAAAAAAGTTATAATTGGATATTGTGATTTGTGAATTCAATATTTTGCTAAATGGAGATGAGGATTGGATCTCCATTAGATTCGGAAAATACTATAATCCTTTTCAATTTCTTTCAATTCAAATAAGAATGTGAAATATATGAATAATTAGTACAGTAATTTTTAGATTTCAACACAACAAATCACAGTTATATATATATATATATATATATATATATATATGAGAGGGAAAATCTATGTCGCTCTTGTGGATAATTGGTTGCCTACTAACCTGACAATTGAAATTTTGAAATGAAGCTTGATTTCAAGTTAAAGACTCATTAGTGTTGGACTGTGTTTTTTAAAAGGTCCACTCCATAAATCAATTCTCTCATTTTGCATTAGTTGAATTTATCTTTCAAACTGACCTAATTTTAATAAAACCAAAAAAAATAAATTATAATACTCTTAGTCGGTGGTGGTGTAGGATTAGTTTATCATCTTTCTGTCCTCTAACTAGTTACAAACAAAATGTGTTTTCTAGCAATAAATGAATTCCTATAATCCTATGTCACGTATAATTAAGATATATTTTTTATTTTTCTATTTTTCACGATGTTGGCTTCTAATGGTCAATTTAATGTGGTAATTACGTTTGAAAAGGATATGAATGATTAAATTATATATTTGGTATACTTGTGAATTTTATATTTATGTTTGAAATGTATTAAAAATATATCTTCATATTTGACTCCAATTCGATAGTGAAATGCTTTAATTTTTTATTATTACAGTGATTAGTTTTCATATTCTTGGTATGCAATTTTCGTCTCTACCACCATGGCTTGACATTAATATCATTATTTTCTTAAAAAATCATATCATCGAGTTATTATTGTGAGATTTATCTACATATAAGTTGATATAATTCAATGCTTTAGATATTTTTTTATTTATCAATATTTAATTCCTTGCATGCAGCATAAACATAAACATAATAATACTAGTAGGTGCTAAGAATCTGCTATTGGTGATGCCACCACTGTGTGTGTGTGTTTTAGTTTGGTCCAATCAATTGTGTAGCACACATAGTTGGTCCTTCATGGGGTGTGCCTAAGCTGGCCAAGTTGACTTACATGAACGGTTGCCTTTTTTTTTCTTTTCTTTTCTCAAGTCGCAATGTACCAGTGTGATTCTCTTTCTATGACTAAAACTTTTAAATATAATAATATTGATATATTATGAGATCTAGAAGTTTGAAACTTTTCACATGTGAAAATTTATTATTAGTAAAGAATGTAAAAAATAATAAATAAATAACTACATAAATTTAAAAGAAGACAATAAAAAAATTGAAAAGCAATGTTTTTCATGATAGCAGTCCATTGCAAATAATTATGAGCTTTAATTGAATGAGTTAATCAAGAATTTGAGCTATAAAAATTATTTTAATTTAAAAAGTCTAGTGCTTGATTTGGCCCAATTTATCTGCAACCTTGAAAATCCATTTTCCAACTCTAAATTTTGAAATTAATATAAATAAATTATTTTTTTAAAAAAAAAAATATTCAGTTTTTGTGAAGTGACTTGTCACACACAGGTGAAAATAATAATAATAATGTATGACCTTCAGAAAAAATAATAATTATATGCTTGTGTGTGATGGAGAAAGCTGGTACTGTCTAGAGCATATTTGGGGGTCCATAATTAGGCAAAATGTTTTGTTTGGAGGACCTATCTAAATCACATTTTTTTGTCGCCAGCTAGTAGCTTCACTGTGCAAAAGCAACCTCTATGAATGTAGCATTTGATTTGCAAATAAACAGAGAGGCAACTTAATTATTGTTGACATAAAGTAGAATACAGATTTATATATATATGTACATGTATTTATGTATGCACGTACATGAATTAAATATAATTAGAGACATGAATTATTGAACTAGTATTTTTATGTTTAAATTATCGACTCAAATATTATTTTTAATATTGAAAATAATATTTTGTTATAAATAAAGCCCAATCGAGCTAAGATGAGTCACACAAACTTGAGGGGTCGTTTAGTCCAGGATGATTTTTTTTTTTTTTTTTTTTTTTTTTTTTTTTAACTGGGAGTTTACACTTGAATTTTTTTATTTGTTAAACATCATCAATTCTCTTAAATTTATTTATTTTTTTAATTATATTTAATTACTTCTTGAATGCAAATTTTTAATTTTTTTATCATATTCATATACTCCATAATATATATATATATATATATATATATATATATATATATATATATGAAAATGAATAAAGCATGATGGAGTAGTTTTGTGGTGGGGGCATGGATGCAGCTGGGAGCAGAGTTCGTGGGAACGTTCATCCTGATATTCGGGGCGACAGCGGCGCCAATCGTGAACCAGAAGTACGACGGAGCGGAGACGCTGATAGGGAATGCGGCGTGCGCCGGGCTGGCGGTGATGATCGTCATCCTGTCGACGGGCCACATCTCCGGAGCCCATCTCAACCCTTCTCTCACCATCGCATTTGCCGCCCTCCGCCACTTCCCGTGGGTCCATGTTCCGGCCTACATTGCCGCCCAGGTCTCCGCCTCCATCTGCGCTTCTTTTGCTCTCAAGGGTGTCTTCCACCCCTTCATGGCCGGCGGCGTCACTGTCCCTTCCGTCAGCATCGGCCAGGCCTTCGCACTCGAGTTCATCATTACCTTTAATCTCCTCTTTGTTGTCACTGCTGTTGCCACAGACACTCGTGCGGTATGCACCACTCTTACCATCTATATTACACACACACATATTATATACACCAACATAATATATTTCTGATTAATATTTTAATAATTAATTACTTTGATAGAATGATAATACCATATTTCAAATTAATTAAATATATATAGATTCTTTTTTTAATACCATGATGACGTCGGACCTGCTAAATCATCCAATAATTCAGTAACAATCACATAGAGTAGAGTTCTGGTCATAGACCGAACTCCCTAAAAAATTACATTTTTGTATATGTACTTTCAAAAAATTTGCATTTTTTTTGATGTATAATGCTTTAAAATTGCGCTCCCTTATTTTTTTTAATTATATTATGCCCTTGAACATAATTTTTGAAATTATTCTTGATTCCCCGTCTCACATAGGAGCAATTACCATAAATTTTTTTTTTCATTGACAAGTTATTCACAAACCCATTTAGGTTAACGTGGACATCACCCTCTATTTTGAGAGATACGGATGGGAACCTGACAACTAAAGTTGATTGGACTTTTGGACTAATCAAAAAGAGTAGTAAAAACAAAATTTGACAGTTTTATCGAATAAGAAAGGAAAATATTTGCAATTCACTTTTTTTATTCTTGCGTTGACTTATTTTTAAAAAAAATGAAATTACAAAATTGTCCTTTACAACTCTCACACAACATAAGACACAATAAATAAATAAATTATTACCTCTCATTAATTAATTAGTCTCTCTCTCTCTCTCATGCTTTCTGCTTTGTGGCAGGTGGGAGAGTTGGCTGGTATAGCGGTCGGAGCCACTGTGATGCTTAACATTCTTGTGGCTGGGTAAGTCATCCTATTTTGCTCATCGACTCTTCCTTTATTATCTTTGTTTCAAATTTTGATGGATGTATTAAAAAAAAAAAAAACTATACATATCTTGCATGGTAAGAGATGCATAAGATGGCCGACATTAACTTTTTTGACACTGTCAAGTCTCAATGTTAGAATTTGAGTGCTCACAGAATTCATCTCCTTTATATGGATGTTAAAAAACCAAAGGTACTAAAGTCTTCACTTATGCCTTCTATTTCTTTGGAGCAGAGATTGATTTAAAGAGGTTGAATGTTAAAAAAAGTCAAATTTAGTTTCAACAAAGTATTACTCAAAGTCAAATTTAGTGCTAGCTTGTCTCGTGAACAGATTCTGAAGCAAGTCTTAAGCCAAGTCCACTAACGAGTAGGGCTTTTTGCACTGCCGACAAAACACACACACACACACACAGCTCTTATAAAACAAAAAAATAGGATTAGCAAACTAGATTGTTGAAATGATACGATAAGCACTTGTCACAAAATATTGATTTACTCCATGACAAAGCTTGAAATTTACTGTAATAGGGTTACTTTTGATTTATAACAGACCAATCGTTAGCCAAAACATAAATAAATGTATCACCTCTGTGTTAGTGTTTTTTGATTATGTATGGGTCAATGATTGATCAGACCATTGAAAAGTACTCCAGTATATATAGCAATGCACTAGAGAGGATTTGTAGTTCACTGATTTAAATATGGAAAGCCAACCTAATTTTGTTTTTGAACCGACATTTGTGAATGATTTTTTTTTTTTCTGTCAATACTCTTATGCTAATGAACAAAGTGTCTCTTCACTGAAATTAAATTATAGTAGTATATGAGTAGGACTAGACATGTAGCGACCATAATAATTGATGAGATATTTGTGTTGGACGGTGCCAGGCCGTCTAGTGGCGGTTCGATGAATCCGGTTCGAACACTTGGCCCAGCTGTTGCAGCCGGAAACTACAAGCATATATGGATATACCTGGTGGCGCCCACACTCGGGGCACTGACAGGGGCAGCTATCTACACCGCTGTAAAGCTCCGGGACGACGAGGCTCAGCCACCACGTCCAGTCAGGAGCTTCCGCCGCTAGCGGGACAGGGCCCATGAGACCCTGCAATTATAGAAGTGAGAGAATCTTTCTCTAACTAGTAGCATTGTGTATTATTGAGTATGAAATAAAAAGGGGAGGGGCATATACAGTGAATGTGACTTCAAGTCCACGCTCCTCCTCTCCTCCTAAGGTTTGTATTTGAATTGTTTTTTCACTTCAACGTGTTGTATGTCATTCACTTTGGGTGGATGAGTTTGTGATGTGAGATGTACTTTTGTCCACAACCCCTTGGACCGCCATTCAAGGGGAATTATTCTATGCTTTGCTTTCTAGGTGTTACAAATGTCATATAAAATAAAGTGCTTGTTTTGTACTTTTTGTATTCTTTTCATAATGAAATGTACATTTTCACTTGAGGTATGTGACAAAAGAGACGTGAAAGAAAAGAAAAGAAAAAATTAATAAAATACTTCATTTGTTTATGCAGTGGGATTCACAAGATCCCAACACGCATTATTTGTCCTCCTAATTTGGAAGGAGTTATTATTATTTTTTTTTTCTTTTATAAATATTTTGTTAACCGTATTAAATATTCAATCTATATTAAATTATTGAACGAGTTATTATTATTTTTTATCTTTGATAAATAAAGATTATTTTGTTAATCGGAATAAATATTCAATTTATATCAAATTATTGAGTCAAATGCGGATCGGTTATCCGAATTAAGACTCAATCACATGCACCTTTGACCTTTCTTACCTCCTAATAATTGTACACGTTGGAATTAACAGTCTTAACGGTGCAATTTGTTAGAACAGTGTTGTGTGACGGGTGGTGACTGTGTACCATTAACGGTGAACTGCAATAGGATGCCTAGTGATGGTCAATAATGCACATGGTGTGACGACTTAACTGTTGAATGGTATGAATCCTATTCATCATACAACGACTTAAACTCCATCGTCAAAATACATATATATATATCCATCTTCATCATGTGCATGAATATGGTTGACATTTCTCTGAAATTTAATTTACCTTACTATCTTGGTTTTTAAAATCATTTTTTATTTGCCCTAGTTTCCATCTTAAAATTGTGTCAGGTAGTACAGTAGTAGTGCAGACAATGAAAGCATTATAATTGTTGCAGAATAATGGAGTTATAGAGTTATAGTAATTAAACTTGAACATTGAGAGTCTCCGATGGTCTTGGCGCATGAAAAGATTGCTCTACTGTCACCTAAAGATCATAATCAACGGTTCGATTCAAGAAAACAGCCTCGTGCATGTGAAGGTAAGCCCCATACATTGGGGCTACCTCTTATTAAGACTCTAAATTAGCCGGCTTTGCTTTACAACTCTTTGCATTCAAATAATGCAAATAATATCTAAGATTCAGTATCCCATCCTACCCTTCCAACACCCTTAATTCAAGGAGACAAGAATGAGCAATGACTTTTGATCCGATTCTTGTTTGGTTAGACGATTTCAGTATCTCGAAGTTTAATTTATTACATGCTTGTCGGATCAATGAGGATTTTTTGGAGTTCTCTTTTTACTGTAACTTTCTTCTATGTAAAAAACAATGAGGATTAGTGTCATTTACTTTAAGGTGAGGCGAGGAATATGCACGAAATGGGAGATTGCCGGCAGTGGTCATGGGTTCCTAATGGTGGTAAATGATGCATTCTGGTGGACTACGGTGGCCGTATTTATCTTCCCTGAGATTACTGTGGCGACCTCGGTTCAGTGGTGATAGTTCCTAACCAACATTTCACCCTAATGGATGGACCAACAGGTGTGCACAAAAACATTGAATTATCCATTCAATGTGCTGAAGAAAATTTAATTTAGGCTTCTAAAGATCTAGAAGGAAATAAGAAAACAAATGTAATAGATATGCCTGTGCGTGCTATCTACCAAGATTCACATAATTCCACCAATCTAACAGGTTCCAGACACAAAATGGGCAACGCTATCCCATTCTAATACTTACTCTGTTTTCCTGAAATTTTAGAGAGGATACAAAGATTTGGAAATTAAAAAATAAAAAATAAATAAAATAAAATAGGAAGCGAAAAAAGAAAGAAGGAAAAAAATGACACTTTAAAACTTTTTCTGTAATTTACCTTTGGATAAAACCCACCACTTGTGCAACACAACCAGCATGTGACAAAGGAATGCATCAGCTTCCTCTGAAAGGGAAAAAGAAAGCAAATGCACCAAAAAATCAGGTAATGTGATATTATTAGGAAACAACTGCTAGAAAGAGAATAGCAAAAAATATTTTGATCTAAACAATTAGGATGCAAACTACTAATTCAAATGCTTGAGACTAAAAACAGGGAATAGGATTAAAGAATTTAACTTTATAGTTATATTTAATTTTGAAGCTTACATAATGTGCTTTTAAGTTCATCAGTTGACAAAGAAACGAATATATATATATATATATATAAAGAGAGAGGGAGAGAGCATTAGCACAAGTGTAATACCTGTCCATGCGTTGTTAAGGATGACATCAGCTGAGGTATTGAGAGAGACAAAGGAATTTCATGTATTAGGCAGACAGCAATAGTGCAAAACATAAAAAGGAGATTAGCTTGGCCATTCGGGCATAAGCCATATGAAATAATGGGAATTTAAAATTAGGTACATTACACTGACCTCCCATATTGTTTTGCCAAATTACACTAACTTCCCCCTATCAGACTTGTCGGGGTTGTAATTACATTTTTGTCCTTATATATTTATATATATAAATTGTATTTTATTGCAATAAACATGTCTTCCAAGGATAGAATTGAGATTTAAAAGTTACAAAGTTGCCAACATCAGCATTTTCATGTTGACTATTAACAAAGGGAACGTATGTGTTATTTACATATAAAGCTCAAGGGAGGTAAGCATAATTTGGCAAACAAGGGGAGAGGTCTGACAAAACCTCAGGATGACAGTGAAATTTACCCTTTAATTTTTTTTTTTTTTTTTAAAAAAAAAATCTCTTTTCCACCTTGGATTTCAAAAGGTTTAAGAGCAAAATACAAAAATAGAGTCTTTGAAAGAAAGACTACTATAGAAGATAGTTGAAGCAAAAACAACTACATTGTCAATTTGTCATCATAGTGTATACACTCTACATATGAAACTTCAACTCCAATAGTGTTTTTTGAAAGTTGGAGTGGGTCACAACCACTCAACCAATTTCAGAGTATCTTGATGATGGTGTGGGTGGTAATAGCACTAGCAATCTTAAGTGGTAATTTACCATTCCATTTTCGAGTGCAAGTTTTGCAACTTGGTGGCTGGTTGCAGAAGTTTTTCTGGACAACAGGTTGTATTAACAGGTTCAGGTTGAAACAAAAAATAAACTGTATTAAAACATGATGCACACTATAAAATCCAGGAAATACACAAACATGGCACTAGAAACATCCTTGGGCAACTGCCATGTTATATAAACGAATTACATCCTACCACCCACAGCTAACCTACATCACTTTGGTTAAAGCAAAATCAACAGATTGACGAATATGTAGAAAAGAACTTAAAAGATAAATGAATTAAACCTCGGAAATGCAGCTTTATCTTTGCAGTCACTTGCTATGAGATGGTCTAGCATGCTGGTCCCCCCATCGCATGATCAAAGGGCATGAGATTGCAGCTTTAAAATGCAACTCTAGTGAAAAATTTATGAAGGGCAACAAGGCCTCCATTGCTTGACAGCCACGTTCAGTTGATCTGGAAGAACATCAGACCACGTGGTCAAATCTGGCAAAGGTCCCGTCAGTGCGAGATAATTTTCACCCGCATTCTTTGGCATTTTCTTCCAGCTTAACTATGTTAGAGGTTAAATTGTAAGCTTTTTTCCAGCTTAAGATAACAGAGAATAATTAATCAAAACAAAAAGAACATTAACAAATTTGTGCACTAAGCGCCAGGGAATGCATAACTTAACATGGTTCCCAGTCTCGTTTGTGCATGCTGGTCAGTTTTATTAACACCTTTTCAAGCAGCTTATGCCACATTTAATACAAAAAATTATCATATAGTAGCTTAAATTATTGTACTCTGTAGCAGGGAACTTATGCCAATTTAGTATGATATGCGTGTGCATATTCCAGCATGCTTAAAGTTTGTCGGGTACAGGGAGGTGTACAATACCTCTACTGATGGAAATATAGAGGAAATGCAAATGGAATGACAAGTAATAGCAAGAACTTAGACTCTAGCGATGTTATTAAGATGCAATATAATGTCACAAGACTCACAACACCACCACCACAAAACAAAGCTCATCTTAAATCCTTTTAATTCTAGAGGTTCCTTCTGACCTCCAATTAACTAATTTAGCATTTACCCCTTCTCTAATTTCGTCAATTAAAACAGTATCATTACTAAATAACGTGAAATCTCATCCTGAATGTGTATCGTGAGTTCATTCATTCATAACTAACACAAAAAAATTTGGGCTTAGAACCTTTATATAAGCTTACAACAATTAATCATTTCCTCCACAGTCATTACGATATTCTTACTTTCATCAGTGTCCTTTATCACGTCAATATATCCCTTGGTGGCTCTTTTTTCTTCTAAAACCCTCTATATTAGATCTCTAGGTACTTTATCACGGGCTTTCTTTAAATCAATAAAACCCCTATGAAGATCTTTTTTATTCTCTCTATATCTTTCCATTTCAATAATAAATAACCTCCATCATTGACCCTTTTTCGACACTTAAATTTCCAGTCTTAGTAGTTGATCAATCACTCTCTCCTAGAGTTTCATGGTATAACTCATTAATTTAATACAACGATAATTATTACAACTTTGTTTATCTCCTTTAAATTTGTATACACGATCTAAAGTACCATTGCGCCATTCATCAGATATTTTCTTATTTGTTAATATCTTTTAGAATAATTTTTTTAGCCAAGACATACAATCATTGACTAAACACTTCCAAACCTCAATAATAATATCATCTTGTTCTAAAGCCCTTTCTAATTTTATCTTCCTTCATACATTTTTTACCACACACTTGCTAATCCTACGAAAATATGTTCTCACTATTCTCCCAAAGGGTACAGTATTCTTCGAAGCCTAAACTTTATCTTACTTTAATTCCATCATCTTTTACTAAAACCCTTAAATTTTCACTCTAGATACATTTATTGTGATTAAAATCGCTAGTATTCCTCTCCCTTAGTTTAGAAAGTCTATAATACATTCTTCTACCCAGTAGGATTAGTAACGAACAAGAAAGGGGTAAGCTGGGAGTAGCTCATATTAGTGATAAAATTAGAGAAAGTAGGCTTAGGTGGCATAGTCATATACAACGTAGAGTGGAAGATGCACCGGTTAGGAGAGGAAGGGTTGTGTGCCTAGAAGGTAAGGGACCAAGAGGATGGCCAAAACTTACATGGGATGAAATGATTAAAAATGATTTTTTAAAACTAAATATTGTAAGAGACATGAATATAATGGGAAATAATGGAAAAAGAGAATTCATGTGGCCGACTACATTCATACGGGACAAAGGCAAAGAAGGTGATGATATATATATATATATATATATATATATATATTCTTCTCCCCATCTGTTGTACCTAATTTAGAAGAAATCGTTGTATGCTCTATATTTAGCTCCTCTCGCTACTTCTTTAGCTTCCTTTTAGCATCTTCCGCTTCTAGTTTTATGCCAACATTTATTCCCATTTCTAGTTTTTTACCAATGGTTGATCTGTCCTCAAATAGAATGCCCTATGTTTTCATTAGAAGTTCTCTTAGCTTTCTCAGCAGCTTTCCACTTCCACCATACATTTCCAATTACATGTAAAACAAGCCCCCATATAGGTCTGGAGGATATCCATCTGATAAATGTCCCAGGATTTTCCTTTTGCATTCCTTCTCATTATGCCCCAAAAAACAACACTCATAACTCGAGTTTGGGAGATACTAATATTTAAGAATACCCAAAATTCACATACTGCAATATCTAATGTCTTGACACCCCTCTTCAGAGCTGGGTACATCAATACATTCACATAAGGGAACTCTCATTCAAACCCCTTAGGCCCCACCTCCAAGTCCTCAAAACTCCGACTTTCTTTCCAATCACCACCTCAGTGTCTGCCCATTGCTAAAAAGAAGATTATTAGCTTCAACGCATAACAGAACCCATCTTACTTCAACACGTGACATTTGCATTGTTTAAACTCTTATCAAAATTATAAAGTTTTTACTGATCATCCTTGGGCTACTATCCATGACTCTTTACCAATCCTTTATGATTAAACTGGAATAAAAAAAAGGTTGGCTCAGACTTCTCAATCTCCATGTTTTTCTGGTATTATCACCACTTTCATGGTTGCTTTCATCATTCCAAAATGATCTCAAAGATGAGAACTTACTCACTGAACAGCATGAGCCTCTTACCTCATAATCACGATTCACTCCCCCTGCAAATATTATTCATTCTTATTATTAATTGGTTAACATTTTTTTCTTTCATTTTTTTCCTTTTATCTTCCTCAGATCATCATCCATCTCATATATTGTCCAACCATGAACTGATAATCCTCAAAAAGGGCAAAAAATCCTACTGCAGAAAACCCCCTTAAGAAGATAGCAAGTTTACATCCAACAAAGTGACCCCAACTCCCATAGAATCCCTAGTACTTCTGGAGACTTTTTGCTGGCTAAACATAATGAAACAGTACTTATTTGCGTTAAAATTTCATAGGTTTGCATATAAGTTTTCGTAAATACAGGTAGAATTGTTTGCATGAATAAATTATAGTTATTATTGTAGCACAGGATTTTTTTCTCAACTATATATATAGGACAGCAAGTTGCAAGAAACTTAAGAAAGGCAACCAATATAGCTTCTGCATAGGAAAATAGAATATAGGAGAAGTGGCCCTACATTTCCAGGAAATACTTCACATAACGCCTTGATGGTAGAATTTTTCACCCAAGTGTCATCAATGGATGAAATTTTAGGATGAGTTACCGTATCAGAACCACTGGATGCTCCATCATTGGCAGCACCACAATTTACCATGAGACGGCCATTTGGCATCAACTTATCATTCAGTTCCAACCAAGTTGCAACCTATCCAAGAGAGTCAAAACACATGAGACACGTGTAAGTTCAAACAAACATTAGCAAGTATACCATGCTATTGATGACCACAAAAATAAATTTATAAGGTATGGGTAATCAATAAAAGTGTGGAACATTGAAATGAATTAACGAAAACCTTGGGAACAAAAGCTATCTATAATTAGAGTGGTGAAAGGAGTATAAATATTTTCTAAAGTCAACAAATAGAGAAACCATGACTACATATTTTACCTTCTAAATATTCTTTGCGTGATCATGTAGTTTGCTCCAGTATAATTGGCTCAAATTGTGTTTTTTTCTTTTTATATGATTCCGGATCCATGATTAGTCAGTGCTATGATAGTCTTAAATAGAGGTATGGCCAAGTTCGAGCCCAGAATCATGATAATTGTGGCATCAAACGAATAGGTGATTAACAGGAAAGTATAAGGTAAAAATGGCTTCCCTATAGTTCTATTTGAACTAAAAAAGGCACATTGATACAATTATGACATGTATGATAGTGGTAACCAGTATGGAGGAAAATGAAGTTTCCAGTAACAATAGGGCGGTGGCAAGTCATGGATTGACATTAAATCCTTATCATTTTGCAATAATTTGGAGGCAGGGATTGACATAAGTCCTTATCATATTGCATTAATTTGGAGGAATATAGTTGACATAATTGAGAGGATGAGCGTGAACTATATAGTCGATAATGACATGATTTAAGTAATGAAACTAAAGCAAGGGTTAAACCTATATCAAACTATGGAGTACTTTAGATTAATCAGAACTAAGACAGAACATATATACTGCAATTCTAGTAAAACTAGAAGTAGATATGAATGTATACTGAAACTCAATGGCCAAGACATAACTAAAAGCAACTATTTTTCTGATATCTTAAAACAAAGAACTGAAGCAGAGTGGACAAAACGGAGCAGCTTCTTTAGTATTGTGCAATTGTAGAATTCTTGTTAAGTAGAAGGGAATTTTCTACAAGATAGCTACACGGCAGTATACTTTATGTTATGGACTACCATATGAACAAGAATGAGTTTGGTTGGAAATAAAGATATTTAGTGGATGAATGGTGCTTATTAATAAAACCATCAAAACATATCCCAGGATATTAATGATTAGAAACTGTGATATGATGATAAAAAGTAAGAAGAATCAATGCTAGCAAGAACATTCAATCATTTTGTGAAAATCAATTTCTGAGCTACAATACTAAGAAACTATGTTAGACCATTTTTTTTTTGATAAGTAAGAAACTATGTTAGACCATAATGAAATAATAGAAACATTATGAATACAATCATATAATATAATTGATAAGATCTTACTTAAACGAGAATTATTGAAGTTGACACCACGACAATATGCCCAAACCATCAAATCCACTTGAGTTATATGATAGATCTATGAATATACCTCTTGCAATTGCGGTAAAACCCTTCCACCAGAGAACAAGTCGATGACAATGCCTGAATAAATAGTGTAATCACAAATTAGAAAACCTAAAGTAGGTTATATATATGTGTGTGTGGGAAGGTGGGATGGGGTCCAATCTACACTAGAATAAAACTAAAGATTACCTTGAATAAATATATTCGTCATCAAATTTCAGTAGCAATGTGGAGTTTGATGGGGAAAAAATATAAAAAAGGTTAAGTAAGGTGAAGGCAAATAAAGGGCAAAGGATGCTAAAGAGGATTTGTATTAATAATTCATGAAGAGGTTCAAAACCCCATGATTTGGTAGAAGATATGGCTATTGACAGGCAGGGGAAGGGAGCAGTATCTGTGTTTGCCAAATTTTCACCAAAAAAAACGAAAGGCTGAGGTACTTCTTAAACATACAGCATACTTCTTTACAAAACATGATTAGGACATACAATGTGAAACTGTGAATGTTGACCTCATAAAATTACAGGAAAAGTTTACCAGCATATCCTCCAGGAACATTAACTGAAGGAGAAAGTGCATCACCAACATGAACACGAAGAATGCCACCCGCTTGAGTATGCTTCTCAAGATCAGACAGCCCGAGATAGTCTCTTGCTTTATCAATCAACTGAAATGTATTATAAAGGCATTCTATTTTAGTTACAATGGCAAACACCACTGGCTACTTGAGATGAAAAGCCAGCTCATCCACATTTCTGAAATGGGCAACTATTAAAAAGTATAAAAGGAAAAGAAAAAGCTAACTTCAGCAAAAGAAGGGTGTTTATCTTGTAATCTGAAAAATATTACAAAAAGCCCTGTCAAGCTAATTGTAATCGCCTTTATAAAAGAACACATGCACCCTCTTCAAATACTATATATTTAAACATGTGTGCGTAAATAATAAAAATTCTAAATTTCAGTGAGATTCAAAGTTGTATTTAGTCCACTAATAAAATTCCAATCAATAATTTTAGATGATGAAAGAAATGGAGAACGTTGGACAAAAATAATGAAAACTTATAGTATATAATTTGGAGATAAAGGTTTTGAATAGTATTATAGGATCAAAGTTGATATAGTAAAACATAACAAAACATAGAGAATGAGTACAATTCTCAAATTAACAATGTAGTGGATCTCCATGGCATACATCTGAAATTATTGCCACATGAGAACCCACCCAAAGGTAAGTAATGACAAAAGCAAGACTAAATTCTTGGCACAAGTGCTATTAACCCTCCAGATTCATTTCCCTAACATGAAAGGGTCATAATGGTCATTTACCTAGTGTGGTCCCAGAAACTGGGGGTATTGGGAGGGGTGGACTAGATACAGACCTTACATTATTTGCACAAAGTGGTGACTTTCTTTAGTGGTAGATGTCATTTTCAAAATTTCCACTTGCATAATTAGTTGTTTCAAAGGATCCTTTTTATGAAATTACTCCATAAGAATTTCCATTAACAGAAATTGGAAGCTTTGTATATATTGTCTATACATGGGTTGTGTCCCTATACATAAAGCTATTAACCAGGGAATGGTCGTGCTTATGATAAAATAAAAATAAAAAATCTTACATAAAGCTGCTAATTTAAACAAAATATATTAGAGAGAGAGAGAGAGAGAGTTGAGATTCATTACAATTTCATCAATCTCCCAGCCGTCAAGTTGCAATGAAGGCCATAATTCAAGCATCAAATGAGCAGCTGTTCCACCACCCTATAAAAATTGGGCAACTTTTAGTAAAATAACATAGTAAGCCCAACAAGATATGCCCATGTCATGGCAAGAATAATAGCTTTTCTTAATCTTAATAACTAATTTCATTAAATTCATCATATTTCAAATAATTTTCTAATCAATTGTCTACATGACACCAACCTACCTCTTTTCAGCCAATACTAACATGGGATACAAGTTGCAGAGAATAGAAATGATTTTATATAACTGAACATAATTAAAAAAATGGCTCATACTAGAAAGAATAAAAAAGAGAATTCATGTGATGAATCCCTTCATATGGGGACAAAGGCAAGTATAATAATGATGAAGTTTCATTAACGGATGTCAAAAGTACCAAAGCAGCCTATGTATCTCTTATACAACAATTAAAGATGAACTCCAAAAGATATGTGATTTCTCTCTGCATAATGCACTACATAAAACAAAGTGCAGATCCATTCCGTGACTTCTTCCTCCTCCTAAAGAACCACCGCTACAATTATGAAGTAAATCCACCATCAATCATGGGAACACCCTCAATACTCCAAATAAGGCTAAACAAGAGTACAAAGCAACCTAACACACTCAAACAATTGATAAGAAGATGGACATTACACATACAACCTAAGCACCCAATGACTTTACTTCTACTGCTGAAGTTATCAATCATGAGAATAGGGTAACCAAATTACCAAGCCGAGGATTGCAATGGGTCCCTTCGGAATAATAGCTGGCAAGCTAGCAAACTCATCCTGAAGAAAATAAATAAGATCCAAAACCCATATATGAGTTGGCAGAACACAATTTTAAGTTTATACAAACACAACAAAACATAAGAAATTGGGGAGGTAGAATGATAACTTATTGAAACTTAATCCTTCCACCCACAAAAGGTATTTGGAACCAATGATGACTTGAAGCAATTCAGTACGTTTAAAAATGAATGTGAAATAAAATTAGCAACTCATGACATGATATCCTCCCCCGCTCCCCGCCCCACCATTACAACATAAATAAACAAAGATGATCCTAAGACAACAAATGTTATAAATCATTGACCACATACACTTAAGTTTTACATACCCAATACGAACCAGTCCATTTCTGTCCCTTGTTAAAAATGCTGTGAACGTTAACTGCATCACCATAAACATTAACTTAGAGATATTACTGAGTAATTTTGGAAAACATCTTCTAATAATCTCATTATTAAAAGAAAGAGGGAGAGGCAGAATAGTTCTGATTTGAAAGCACTAGCAAGTAAAACATGGACAGGTTAATCATAACTACGAGATGATCTAATAATTGGAAACGGGGTTCTTCCAAGAGTTGAAGCTAATGCAAAACAAAATATCAAGCTATCAACAAGATAACAAAGGTAATTTATATATATATAGTGAGGCTGATGGAACAATTGTTCAAGTTTTTTTCTTTTTTTCCCTTTTTTAGTGGGAGAATTAAGCTCCTAGAATTTTTCATAAAAATGAAACGATTTCAAGTTTCAACCCTCATTTCGTAGCATTCCAAAGAACAAAATCAATCCTCACAGACATTAGAGCCATTACAACTACTAGAATGGTAGATACATAAGCAAACAAAAAAATTCATTTCCCACCATTGGCTATTAGAAATTTCAACAAATCCGTTCCCAAATTCAGTTGAATAAAGAGTGGAATCATTCAATTTACAAGATACATTCAAGCGCACCGTTAGGGTATTCCAAAATATCCCTAATTTGATAATCATATTATATGATTTTCCTCCCATTTATCTAGGTGGGTCCAATTCAAATTAGCTGATTTCTTGAAATTGGTTTCCCAAATATGTGTGCTTTTCAAGAGTTATATACAGTCATTATATATATAGAGAGAGAGAGAGAGCGCATACGAGTAGAGTCGAGAAGCAGCATCCTTGATTTGGGGGTGTCCACGATAACTATATCATTGTAACGGCTTCTAAGGGCCGTCAATAGTTGAAATTCATCGTCGTCTTCTTCGGTTAATCCTAGAGCCTGTCCTTCAACGGCATTGGGTTTCTGATTGAGAAGAGAGAAGTTGGAGGAAGAGAGTGAACAATTACCGTATCTGTATCTGGTTTTACAGCACAATACTTGTTCTTTTACAATAGGAGGAGGAGGAGAGAGAGGTAGAGGCAATGAAAAGTTGCGAAGAATTGTAGAGGAAGAACAGAAGAAGCCGCATCGACTCCAACCATAGTGAATTGGTGGAACCAACGATTTCAACGATGTCAATACAATCATATCTTCCCCTTCTCACAGTCTCACACTCACTCCTCGTTACATGTCCTGAGGCCCCAGTAATGGAATTTATATATACACCAGAGAAGATAAAGCATCCTCTCGCCAGTACTTTTAAATTACATTTTTATAAAACCTGCTATATATAAAAATATATATATATTTAAATAAATGTGCAAAAAATACCATACTATAGTTTTTTTTATGCATATAAACCTCTAACATTTGAAAATTTGTGCAAATTGTCTCCTAATATTTTTTTGACCAATTTTTTTATTATTTTGAAACCCCAAAATACTCTTAGATCTTACAGGCATTTTAGGTATTTCAAATTGACAAAATATTCTTATTTGCTCAATTTGAAAAATATAGGGTGTTGTTTTAACACCAGATGGAGTATTTGTACATTTTGTATATGATTTTTACTCTTTACCCTTTTATAATTACATTCTCTAATTTATGAAAAATACTGTTTTTTCTGTAATGATTTTTTTTAGTCTCAATTTAAAAAGCAAAACAAGTCTACTCTTTTAATACACAATAAGTTTTTTTTTTTTTTTTTTCATCATCGAGCAAGTGTGTAAAATAACTAAAATTTGATGTGTAAGTTATTTTCATTATATTTTAATTTTTTTTTCTCCATAAATGTATTATGACAACCAAAAACCAAAAATTAAAAAAAATAATAATAATAATTTACATCCAATTAGACGGAGCCTAATCAAACAAATTTTCAAATTATTTTGTATTGTTTCCCTAAACCAATGTCCTCACTCCATGAGGGAAGGAGGAGCCTGAAGAGATAATCTGTTTTTGATTTCTTTAGGTTAAGATGATACTATGTTCTTTAACTTTTTAGTCGTCGTCTTCTGGTATAACATGGAAGACAAGGTAAAATGTTCAGTGCCATTATAAGACACGGTTTTTAGTTTCCAATAATGCCTGTTGTTATTAGTCTATTTTTGTCCCATTCGAGTGTTTCAAAACTCTGGGAAATCACATGAATTGCCACCCACTTAAAATAACCATTACCGACCCGTTGGAGGCTGCTGCTTCTTCTTCTCTGTTGGAGGCTGCTGCTTCTTCTTCTCTGTGGTGACAGCAGAGGCCGCAGTGGCGGTGGGGTAAAGAAGCACTACCAAATTATTTGAATTATAACAACTGAAACCATGGTTCGTAACCCTTTTATAAATGTCCGATAACATTACACGCCTCCATGAATCAGTGGATTTACACCGATATTCACCCGAGTTCTATACACCGCGAACGCGAATGAGACTTCTCATAAGTTCAATTGTGTGGGATGATGACACAAGAAGTCCACATCAATCTACAACTCTACATCAATCTACAACTCTACGACTTTAGCAATGCACAGACCTGTTTAACTGGAGCACCATTACTTCAAACAACTGTTGCAGGAGCTGTGCATCTTCAAAGTAAATATGTTTGCAGGGTGGGTTGCTTTTATGTTGCATCTACGAAGTAACAGTATTGCATATGTATTTGAAAGCACTTGTAATAGAGAGGCTCCTCTTCCCACCAAGACACCAGCATCCCACCACCACCACCACCACCACCACCACAATCACTGATGGGTCGCCACTAACAAATCACGACTTTAATCGTTATCGTATCCGCTCAAGCTTTCCCAGTATAATTTTCCTACAAGTATGTCACACACCCTCATCCTAATTAGGATGTAAACCTACACCTATCTAATGGGTTGCTGGAGATGCCACTCTCAAGTTAGACAACAGTGGCTCTCAAACCTTTCCACCATAACTGTCAGGAGATACTCCATCTGTCCCAAAATTCTTGTCTCTATTTCCATTTTTTATTATCCTAAAATTCAAATCTCATTTAAGAAAGATTGTATATCTTGCAAAATGTCCTGAACTTCTGAAAACTTTTTCCAGCTAACAACATAAACTTTTGAACTTCAAACGAGTAGTTTAGAATTTTTTTTAAAAAAAACAAGAATTTTGGACGAAAGGAGTTCAAGATATTTATTGCACAGCAAGCGAAAAAAAGAAGAAAAAAAGAGAGCATACTGGAACAGTCCCTCAAGCAAAACTTCAATCCAGATCCAACAAAAATGTAAGATTTTTTGGGCTTTTGTTTGTCCCAAGTTAAACGAAGCACACTTCCACTATTGGAGCAACTATAATGAACATGCAGCCAGGCAAAAGTACTTTCCATCAAAATTCAAAAAAGATAAATAAATTGGTAACAATAGAATTATGAATGCATAAATCCAAGCAAAATATAGAATGAACCAATGAACACAAGAATGGTAACAAAACAATGTTGCTGAATGTCTAAAGAAGATATCTTTTTATTGTCAACAGTCTTGCAATAAAACTCATGGCTATAATACTACTGAAATTTCTTAAACAATTGTGCCATCAAGTAGCACAAAGATCATGCATCTAAACAAGTTTTTGGACGATGATAACCTTTTCTCAGCTATGTAATGAAATAATAATAATAATGATTGCAAGATCACTTGATGTACTTTATATCAAATAATTGTACATGAACACTAGCACATTTCTAGGATTTGCACTGCTACCTACCTTGAAGCTTGAATCAATGAGTGAAGATGAGGGAGAAACGAATAGCTACAGCAGAAAGTTTACTCTGTGAATCAAAACCTACGGACCAACATGTTCCATCCATAAATGCATCTGTTGCTCTTCAAGAATAACAAGGCCTTAGCAGAACCCTCTGGGAAATAGAAATTGTATTTAGTACGCCACTAAGTCCGGGCAACAAGAAGGATTCCATATCTTGGAGAAACCTTGGGGGAATGGGCTGGTAATTGTCTTCTCTAATCCAAGTAACAAAAAAGTTGTTGACATGCCATGAAAGGTAAGACAATATATACAATGTCTTGCTAACCATCGAATGATGGCGTACATTGGTGCGATGTTCCTTCCAGGTTAACCACAAGTAAGTAACAATGATTAGCCAGTTACTTAACAGTAGGAGAAGCACGAGACTGATCTGTTACCCCGTTATTGAATTTCCCGCTAGACTGCCTGATTTTGAAACTGCCATATTTCACTGGTTTTGGCTGAAACAGAGAATTGATCATTTTCTCCAAAGATTGTGCTGTGTACTTGGCATACTTGCTTGCACTTGCATCTTGTTCAACCAATGGCCCATAATTCTGCATGTAGCTCCGATAAACAGGCACGATTGCCTGCACTATAAGCTGGCATGTCTTCTCACGCAGATCTTTCTCTGGTACAACCCAATTGGACTGCGTCTTATAAAGTTCATCAAAAGCTTCATTGAAAGCTTTCAGCCGTTGCTTGACAAGGTCACGAGCTTTAGCACGCCCACCGGAGAACAAAATCAGACCTTCTCTACTTAAAAGAGCTGGAAGTTTTCCCCAGCTTTCTCTCAAGTAGAAAGTAGAATAATATTCCTTATACTGTTCATGTTCTTTTAACCAAGAATCTCCCAATAAATTCCCGAGCTTTGTGCTCTTCAAATGCTTGTAGAGATGCCAGTGATTGTTCATCATGAAAAGGTATGACAATACATTATCCTCATAAGCCTTTGACCAAGTCTCTAAATTCAGCTCGATGGCTCTGATTAATTTCAGAGCTTCATTAATAAGGATTTTCTCTTGGAACTTTTCTTGCTTCCAACTTCGCTCAATGACGAGGACTTGGGTGAGGATTGGCTTATAATCGTCCCCAAGCAGCCTATTACAGTAATCGGTGATAAAGCTCACGAGTCTTGGAACACTGCCATCCAAAGGAGGTGGAGTTTGCCTCTGCAATTCCACTTGGACCAAAAGTTCCCAGAAGATTTCACAAGCACCTTCAATCACACTCCTGATGAGATCCCTAGTCAGATTTTGGATTTCGGCACATGCTGTTCCACCAAAAAGCCGGTTAAAATCCAACCTTAGCTTGTTCAAAGAAGCAAAAATATCCAACAGCTTCAATAGTTTGATGGGATCCTTCTTACTCTCCGTAACAGTTTTTCCAAATTGAAGGAAAGCAAGAATACCCGCTTGGGCAGCTATCTTAGCAAAGCAGCCCATCCACACATCCAACCCAATCCTTTCAAAGACGTCATTACAAAGTTTGTACTCAGCCTCAAAAAGGTGCTTAACTGCAAACTCCAAGTGCTTACCCCACTGAGCTATGTAACCCTCTATGCTCTGCACATCATTGAATTCAGAGATTGAGATCTCAAGGTAATCCAAATTGAGCGCCTGCAAACTTGCTCTAACGTTTGAACTACGAACTTCAACATAGATAGATATGCACTTATCAAGTCTTCCATTAGCAATTAATCTCCCAATAATAGCCTGCAGGTGCTGAATAACAGGCACAGGTAGAGGAGATGGGGCAATGCAGGCTTGTTCACCAAGTGAGGATGACGAGGACATCGGCAATGGGACACTGTTTTCAGTCAAGAGCCGTCGAAATTCGTTTTCCAATCTGTCCAATGCAGCCCCAAGAAGCCCTCCATCATGGTGATCCTTTTCCTCATTATCCTGCAATTCCCTGAGATACTTCAGAGCCTTCTTCAAAGTCGAAATGTACCTATCATCAGCAACCTTATTATCCTCCAAATACTCTACAATATCGTCCAACCACTGAATAGCCATCCCACAATTATCTCCTAGAAACCTCAACGCCTCTTCAAGCCGTTTAAGTACAGAGAGGTATCCTGGAAGATCTGATTGGGGATCAGAAAGTGACTTCTCCAACCCATGAATGGCATCAAAAACCTTTAAAACCGCAGCTGCAGGGACCACGGCTCGGTTAATATGACCACCAACAGCATCAAGCGCTTCCTTTTGTGCACGAATAGGCCTGACTGCAGCCTCTAAATACGGTAGTCTCTGGTTCATCTCATCTAATCTAGGCCCAGCTTTCTCTAGAGCTAGCCCTAGGGCTTTCGATTTCTCTAAACTAATCTTCAATGACTTCCTTGCAGATATCAAATTCTCCATGCTATTATTCGCGGACGCCATTCAAATGTCAAAAACCTAACCGTAGATGTCACAAAACTAACTCAGACCCAAAAATTGATACTCAAAACCCACAAAATTTCATATCACATTAACTTTAGATATATACCCAAGATTGTGTTTTTTTTTTTCTAGGGGCAATCTGATAGTTTCTTCTGGTTTCATCGAACACATCGAAATCAATCTGGTTTCTTATAGAATTGAAACTCCATTTTCTTCACCAAACTTCACCAGATTTAAACCAAACCAAACCAAACCAAAATAAGAAGAAAACACAAAAAAAAAAAAGTCAAATAACAACTACAAGTCAACACAGATCCGCACAAGAAGAAAATGATAGAGAGCGAGGGTAATGGGACTTCCAAAAAAATGACAGAAATATATATAGAGAGAGAGGAAACGGAGTGTTGAGAGACTCACTTGAAATTGAAGTGTGAGAAGTCAATGCTTTGATTGAGCGATCGAATCGAATCGAACTCAGCGACTTGAATGGGGGACTTCGTATATACCGAATCAGTAGTCTGATGCGATGCGTTTGGGCGATCGAGAAAAGATGAAAGCAAAAAAGAGAGAAAAACCCTAAATCTGAAACTGTAAAGAGCCGCTTTTGGTACAACTATGTTTGCAAGTGCATGACAGTGGTAATGCTTTCTGTGTTCCTTCTTTCTTTCTCTCTCCGCCTCTCTGCGTTCTACGAACCAATTGTTACTTGCAAGAAAGAGAATCTCGGAAAATTTAAAAAAAAAGGAAAAAAAAGAAAGGAACTAAATCAACCCCCCTCCTCCTCCTCCTCCTCCTCCTCCTCCTCCTCCTCAATTTTTAATTTCAGAATGTTAGTATCTTTTAGTCGTAAAAGATACTAGATTCTGCTCAGAATGTTGAGTAAATCATTTTTACAGTCAATATCATTATTTTACAGTATCTATGCTCTTATCAGTTGCTTCACCAACCTACATCACAATATTCTTCTATTTTAAGTGTAAAAAAACTTAATAAATCACTAAAATTCACTAAAATATCTCTCTTTATTTAAACAATAAGGGTAACATATGGCTTCATTTTGAGGCTTATGAGTGGAATTGAAAAAATATATATCTGGTTAACCAATTTTATTAAGCTACCTCTAGTTGTTGCGCTAACAAATTCAAATTATAGTTGTGAATGATATATTTTTGTCCGGGACGGATTGAGAAAGTTGTGGTAGGGGACGAAACTAAATTTAGTGTATTTTATTTTATAATTTTAGGGGGGTGAAATAAAATTTTTATAGGTATATAATTAAAAATAAGAAAAATTAATGGTATATACTAGTAAAAAAAAATTAAAAATCAGTGGGAGCAATTGCCCCACTGATTATGAAGTGGCTCTGTCCCTCATTATTATGACAAATAATTGTATGCAAATAATATATGGAATAAACATATATAAATAGTAATATTTATGACAAATGAAGACATAAATTTTCTCTAAATAATTGATCTATCTCTCTCGGGTTCCCTTCTCCTCTAAAATTCTAAAAGAAAATAAAATCAGATATGAATATATATATTTATTTTTTTTAAATAAAAATCTTGGTCTAATATCATCCTCAACCGAAAAAAAGAAAAACAATTTATTAAGAATAGTAATACTCACCCCCTGAATTATTTAACTGAATAATTTTTAATTGATTATTTATATCGAATACAACTAAGTGAGTAATTTCATTTTCTTATTTGTTGTATAATTGACTAATTAAAAAATAAATTTAGAAATTCACTGTATCTCTTCTATGCTAGGATCATTTTTCATTTATTAATAATGATTTCAAATCTAAAAAAACCAAGGGCTCAGGTATTGTCACCATTCACAGAATACTAGTGGGTCCCACTAATCATGTGGCACCTTGGAAAGACACAAAACTAGATTAGTATCTTTGGTTGAAATATAGACAATAATGCTCCTCTTTTCGTTTGTTTTGGCGGCAATAAGGATCTTAAATACCTAGATAATTTGCTCCTCCTTCGACTGCCATAATTGTCGTTTTCACATAACACCGTCACCCAAGAGTGTAGAGCTAAAATGAACCTAAACTCCTTATAGCAGAGTATAGGAATTATTATTATCCGGAATAACATTTGATGATTTTGTTAGTTTGAATGGACAAAATTACTTCTATTACATCGATACTTATTCGATTAGAGGTCATGATTGAGAAATTTAATGACCGTCAACTGTTTAGACACAATACCTTCACTCATTTTTTTTTTTTTTAGCTTAAAATATTTCTCCAAACAACCATAGTTTTATTTGAAGTGTGTTTTAATGATTTTGCCACCAAACAATACTTTAAAAATAATTTTCTGGACTAATTCCTAATTCCCTATTTGGGGTTTGATCCCAATTATACTGTCTACTTCCAATTCAATCGGGGTTGGACTTAGTATGTCATGTGCTTGCACCTCTCTATCTTTTGCAAATAACTACTGTAATATATATCCTGGAACTTACTGTTTGTTGATATTTTCACTTCATTGAGTTGTCCATAATACCACTATGTCTACAGTTTGATCACTAATGTTGAATTTGTGCGTTAGGCTTGTTGTGTGGGTAGACTTTTGTGAAATTATTGAAGTTCGGATTTTATATATGCTATGTTTGGCGACACCAAATCTTGAATTTGGAATTAGAAAAATTTTAATACAAAGCTTCCAAACATAACAATAAAGTTTTCGTGACATCACACATTTTGTGTTATTGCATATCTTTACCATGTATATGCTTATGTCCTGCATTTGGGGATTTGCTAGTATTAAATGGATGCTTCCTAACAATTTTTTTTACAACTTTTAGGTTTCTTGTAAGTTTTTGTTCCCTTATTACAAAATTTACGGAATCATGTTAGAAGTAATTATTTTTGAGTTATTTGCTCCTTTTAAGTTTGAAATATCATAAGTAGTAATTTAAAATTATTTTTGGTAAATTTTTGTTTCAAAATTTCTTAACACATAACTGGTCTTCAACCATTCCAGCACTTACCTTGATTGATTGAACAGCCTATCTCAATCTGCAGCATTAAACTCTACTGGTGGTGCATCCGCAGTTTTAGTGATCATCATTCATGTACTCCGTGAATCAAGTTCTCAATCACATTCTTGAGCTTTTTTTCTTTCTTCCCTATCTTTTTGTACTTGCATTTTTCTTTAATCCACTTTGATTAAAATGATTTTTTTCTTCATTCTCTGTATTTCTGCTTATCAGTTTGGGATTTGATTAATATTGAGATGGCTTTCTCACTTTTTGTACTTGCACTTTGTGGACAGTACATTGAGGTAGATGAAGGCCATATTTGGTCGTGCCATTTGAAAACAATTTTCAGGAACAATAAAAAAACAAAATTATATTTTCGGAAAACAGAAAATATTGTTAATTGAAATTGAATCTTTTTAATTCTGCTTTCAATTGACAGTTTTCAAAAAGCATTCGATCAAACAAAGGACATTCCCAGTAGTTCAATAGCCCTGATTAGTGAAGAGATCGGTAGAAAAAGCGAAGATTGTCATCCCTAACACTAAATGCATCTGAATAACCCGTTACATGCAATGAGAATGTCTAGCACACTCATCTACTTCTACTTCTGCTCAAGGAACTGCTACTTCAGAACAAGGTAGTCTACCATAGAGGACGTCTCCAAGACCACCCTCAAATATTGTTTCAAAGAAGCAGCTCTACTGTGAATCTTTGCGACACTTCTCAGACATTTCTCCGAACTACTCAGGGTTGCAATTTAGAACTCGTAACACCTTGTGACCTCACTTTGCCAATTGAAACCATGATGCCTTGTTCCTCCCCTATATAAGAAGCTCAAATGACTTCGCACCTGTCTTGATTTTCATATCACATTCTTTCTCAGTAGTTATACTCTTCAAACTTCTAATAGAACAACTAGCTCCAACAACAATGTTTAGCTAAACAAAGGTGGCAACAAGTATGCAATGGTAGAAACAGTTTCATAGTTCTTATTCATTTATTAATGAGTTCACTACTGAGTAATGGAATTAATAGGAAGACAATCTGTCAAAAAACCTATAAAAACTTGGTCGTTAGCTGGTAAAGTGCGCAGTTTGATATACATATGGTAGCTGGAAGTAAAAAATTCATCTTCATCTATTTGACTCATATAAATGAAAGAAAATGAAACTGAAAATTCGGAAAGCTGTTTCTCAAGAACAGAAATTTCCTCTTATAAAGTGTTACATTCTAAGATTTAGATGTGAATAACAGAGGGAATTGAAATTCTATTGAACACACATAATTCATTGACAATTTAGGCAACAAAGCATAGTCTCTCATTTCCATGGCAAAATACCCACATTGACATTGATTTCATGCCTACTTCAATAGGCTAGTTTCTTGGACAATATGAAGAAGAATGATTATAAAAGAACACCTAAAAAGAAAACATGTAAAATTTGAAATCACAACAAAAAATAAAAAATAGAAGGCACTCCTCAACCTCAATACATATCCATCAGTTCATTCAGTTTTTTTCTCATAAAGAAGCCTCAATCCTAGGTTCAAAAGAGAATGCAGACATGAACTTCTTGGCTTTGCCATTCATGCAACAAGCGGGCAATTCAACCCATTCTTTGCGCACCAGATCACATAAAACATAGCTACAAAGCTCGGCAGAGTTTACGCAGACCAATATCTGGTCACCGGCTCCAGTGCAGTTTATATCCACCTTCTTGTCATAAAAGGCGTGTGACATAGCCGGAGGCATTGCTGCAATTTGATGCCAAGACCGATTGTCCTCGTCAAATCTCCACACCCTGAGGCTCGCGCTTTCTAGGAATTCCGATAGCACAACCACCAACATCTCTCCTCTACACTCAACCACATCAATGGAGTACTCGGAGAATACAGGCAACAGCCTCGGGTACTCAAAGAAGCACTTGTGAGTTAGATTGCAAGCCACAATCGTCCCGGAGGAGCTAAGGAAATAAACTATCTCCTCATTGTTTTTCAAAGTAATGACTGATGAGTACTGCTTAGACGGGCTTCTCTGCATGTTGGTTGCTACTACATTGCCTGCCTTGCTAAGAAAATACACTGTATCATCATCCTCTCTGTCATGCTCCAGAGAGTAACCAGCCTTTCTATTTAGGATAGTCTCTTCTTCCCAATTATCAATTGTTGAATTGTACACTTGGAATGAGAGTTTTGGAAGCTCACCTGAGACTAAGACAAGCTTGTAGGAGGAAGAGGAAGTGGAATTCATAGCAATGGCATGAAGTGAATTATGGTTTTGTGGGAAAGGACGGAGCTTTCGACAAGAACCCGTCACGGGGTTGGAAACAATGAACTCATTGGATGCAACATTGCGGAAACAGATCAACCCGCCCGACGCTGCAACGGGAATGAAATTGGGGCAAGAGCTTTGGAGGAGAAGAGGCGGGTGGTTGAGCTGTTTCCAATTTTTCTCAGCAGAGTCAAAGACAATGGATTGATTGAGGTGGGGATCAAGATCAACCATGAAGAACCAGGGGTCCCGAGAGGGAATCTGAGCACAGGCAAGCCGGAAAGTCGCAGAAGCCGCGACAGATTTCCATCTTTTGCACACTGAACCGAGGCGGAAGAAGGTGGAGGTTGGAAGCCATGAAAGAACCCTCTCGAGCAGGTCTTGGTTAAGCTCGTCCAAAGAGAAGAAGCTCGAAGCTTCATCGTCGTCTTCTCGGGATTTCCTTTTCCGGGTTTCCATTGAAACAGAGGAAGACATTCTCTTTCAAATTGAACCCAATGAAGCGTGAAACTTTCCTCTCCGGTACAACCTAAATACCCCTCAAGTGTTCGAACAAATGCCTCAATGACAAAAACCAAGTAAACAGTAGCAATCGAAAGAAGAGAAATAAAAAAAAAAAGAGAGAAATTCTTTTGGCAGAGCAATCACAAAACAGAAACAATAAGTGGGAACAAAATAGAAACAAGCAAATCAAATGCAGCTGTGACAGAGTGAGATGGTGTTAGCTGCAAAAGAGCTTATATTGTGAAATGGGTGAGGATGGAATCAGACAAAAAAGTGAAAGCGAGCAAGTCAGGGACAGAGTAGATGGTGGAGGGGGAGGAGAGACGAAGCTTCCTCTGAAGCTCTTTTTGTCTTCGTTGACACGAGAGCGATATTGAAACAGAACCAAAGGTGATTATGGACGAAATAGTGTGTGTATACAACTATATATATAGTAATATATGCACGTAAATGTACAACGCATGTAGCATTGTTCTAAATATTAACAAAGACACCATTTAAAAATTCTCAATGCACCTGCCGGAGCTGGTACATAGATGTGTGCTGGTATGTGTGTTATGAATGAGTTGGTTGCTGACCTTTGAAAAGCAAAAAAGCAAAGTAATGCCCTCTCTCCGTGGCAGCGTCTTTGAGGAATCTCTCCCTCGTGTTTAGGACTTTATGTGATGTCTTTCTATAAAGTGACAATTAATTTATGTTTGGGCTGTGCCTCAAGTCAATGGTGGGAATCCAAAGCTCTCTTTGCATTAGTTTATTTTTTGTCTTTTATAATTGACATGGACACAAGGTTGGGATTTATTGATAACACAAGAGAAAAAGCCTTTAATTACGCTACCTTTTCTTGACTTGTCTTCCATTGGACGCTTACTATTCTTTCCTCTTTTTCTTTCTTTATTACTACTATTATAAGTATTCGTGACAGATCAGTACTAATACGAAGCAATCAAGAATATGATTGTTGTGATGTTCTCTCAATATATAATAAAAGACAAATACAAAAAAACAAAAACAGAAAAAGATTTTATTGATAGTCAACTTCCGGGCAAAGAGAAAAGAAAATAAAGTACTGGTGTGCTACATAGATTTTCAGAGATAAAGAGGAATTTCCAACATTTTTTATGCTCTTCCGGTATATATTTTACTTTCTTTAATTGATCTCTTCACACAGTCTGACCGGTGAGCAGTCATCATGTTTCAGTATCTGATATAAACAATGACAAAGTGAATCGCACTGTTGCATGGAACCAACCGTGCCTTGAATATGAAACTGCAGCTCTTCAATAAAGTGATTAGCTGCTAAAACTGACATGTAAACACTTTTCTTTTTTTCCTTCTTTTTTTTTTTTTTTTTTTTTTTTGAGTTAAGTATATTATTGATTCTTATGTGCACGTGTCTACATGTGTGTCTCTGCTCTATCATTTGGAATGGTGATACATTCTCTGATTTGGAGAGAGTCCAACAAGTGACAGAGAGACTATAGATCCAGCACACCTTGTGTCGATCCATTTAATTCTTCATTACAATGCTAATTTACTTATTTTGGTTTTGGAGGGTATTTAGAAAAGGAGGGATTGGAACATACTAAAAAACAATTGTGTGGCTCCCTTGGGCTTGGGCTTGGGCTTGGGCCTTATATGGAGGATCTCGCAGTCCTGTAGCTGCTTAAGCTTAATAACTCTATCTTAATTTTTTTTTTTTTTAAATTGCCCTTTTAGGTTGGATTAGAAAAATGTTATGCTCGAATCTTTATTTTTCACCAATTAATGATCATTAATAAAAAGTATTTTTAACATATTTGTCACTTTTATTATCGTCTAGCCGTATATGAATTTATTTTTTTCTGGTTGCTATGTCATTTATTCACATTAGTAAATTTATTCATTTTTATACATATTTTGAAACGGTTCTACGTATATATAGAGACTAAACTGCAATGTTCGTTAATCCATTCAAATGAATGACGTTTTTTACTTCTTGTTTAACTTGTTATATTCACACCCCTAAAACTTCTCATACTCGATTTTTTGGGAGTTGTTATTACATATGTAATTCACTTATATATAGGCATTGTAATGTTGTGGGTTATTATGTATATATAAATGTGTGTTTAGGTTATAAAAGAATAATTATAAAAAGAAAAAAGAAAAAAAAAAAAAAAAAGTAAGTGGGCCCCACCCATGCTTTTAACATTGCAGAAAGGCCATAACGCCAAAAAAAAAAAAACATGGGTTTCTCTCTCTCTCGGCTATATCACTTTCCCCTTTCGGCAGTTTCATTTTTCTTCTCTTTTTGCAACTTTCAAACTTTGATCTAGCTTTAATCTTTTGGATTTTGGTAGAACATTGTGAAGCAAAGTTGTTAAGCTCGTCAAGGCCTTCAATTTGATAGGAGCCAATCATCATTTGGTGCACTCTAAGGAGTTCAAAATTCTAGGGTTCTTGGGCTTGGATTTGGGGATTTTGGGAGTTTTCACTTCCATTGAGGTAGGGGTGTTCTAATCTACAATTTCTTAGTTTTTTTGTGAATTTTTCCCCTTAAATTTGATCCTATGCATGCTAATTTTGATTATCTAGTTTGTGGTTGAAGTATGTTTAATTAAAATGCTAAATGTGTTCCATGTGTTATTGGAATTCATATATATGACTAGATTTATTACGGTGATTGAGCATGTTTGGTGTTGACATATTGTATATCCTAAGATTATGTATTTTTTATTTATTTATTGCTTTGAAAGAAAATGATGCTATGGTCAATAAATAAATAAAAGAAATGATTGCTTAGAAATTTCTATTAAATTGTGATAATGATGTAAATGAAATGTGTGAGAGCCTATGGTTGAATTGATAAATCGAAACATGCACATTCATGCATTCATTGGGAAAGAGAAAGGAAAATATATATATATATATTTTGAACAAACGAAATTATTTTGGGGAAAATATTTTTTTAAAAGAGTTTGCGAAAACCGGACGCCTAGGAGGCGCCTAGTGGTCCGTGATATTAGTGTAGTCTAGAAGGGATCATGGTTGAGCTAACTAGGCCGAATGCGACGCCTTGGAGGTGCCTTGTGGTCGTGGATAGTTAGTCAACCCTCCATTCGTGACTCCTTGGAGGTGCCTTGGGTCGGATTACACTAACGGTTTTGGAAGTTGAAACGGAAATGTTTCGGAAAATGGGAAGTAACATTTGCATATTGCACTTCATGACATTGTGGTAAACTTGTGATTGGGTGGTATTTGTTACATACTTGTTATTGTATTTGAGAGTGTGTGTTTCCTTATAGCATGATCCCTTTCACTTTTTATCTATTCATTGTATGGATTCACGGGGATATAAGAAGTGTGTCTTGGACACTTCCTACTGAGCTTATGCTCACCCCATTATTTCTAACATTTTTCAGGACATGAAAAAGAGGTGGCGGACGACGATCCACCATGATTTTAGACAAGCACGGAGACCTATTTTATTATTATTATTTTTTTTTGCTATCTTTTGTATTAAAACTCTCTAATATTTTGTAAATGTAATATTAACTAACTCGTAAAACTTTAGTTTAATTAGTCTAATGTTGTAAGCCATGGACTTTTAAATTCTAACTACGCTTTTTGGACTGTAACTTGATGTAACCAACGTATGTTCCTTGTTGGATGAGATGGAGGAATGGGATTTTATATGTATGTAGTCACTTTGGAGATATGATATAATATATGTATATTGCGTTGGGACAGGATATGTTAGATTTAAGGCCCAGTGAGGCCATTGTAATTATTTTTTTGTATTTCAACAGGTTGTTTAGAGACATTTTCTGCGGAGGTCGTGCCGAAATTTTTTATCGATTCTTATTATTATTTTGGTATCCCATTTGGGTCGTTACAAATTTGGTATCAGAGCAATGGTTTGAATACCATTAGGACGACGGGTAGAGGCCTACCTAGGATTGCATGGGGAGTTGAGTTATTTGCTTACTTGCTTAATTGTTTACGTGATGGCATGCTTATATGCTTATGTGTTAAGGTGCTTAATTATTTGAAAGACGTGCTTATTTGTTTAACTGCTTATACGACTACGTGCTAAGTGCTTAATGTTGTTGTATATGATTAGCATGATTATGTTTATCATTAGTTGGGTATTCTGGGACTATGAAAGGTGCTTATGTGTTTCCATTCTTGTCAAGTCATTCGTGTGAGGACTTCGTTCTCGTACGTATTTTAGTGTCATCGTTTTTGATCTGTTTCCTTTTTCTTATAGCGTCATGGCAACACGAAGGGATCCCGGGGAAAGTTCTAGCTCCAATCCCGTGGAAAGGGATCAGGATTAAGTTGAGGAAGATATCTTGTTGCGTGATTTGGTCCCACCAAGAGGGGGACAAGCGAGGGGGACTGTTGATCCACCTTTTCAGATGAATAGGGAACAAATTAGGTTAGCCATTCAAGAGGCTATTTTTGATGCATATCGACCGACAGGCGCGTCATCGTCACAGTTTGTGCCACCACCGGCTCCACCACCACCTCCGAAGACAAATGAGCTAGATGATACTCTTTCTCACATTGCCAGGTTCGTGAAGTTGATGCCAACCTTGTTTGAGGGTGGTTCAGATCCGCTTGTTGCGGACGGTTTCCTGGATAGGGTGGAGAAGCATATTAATGCCATGAATTTGGCAACGGACAAGTTGAAGATCACATTGGCGACTTACAATTTTGTGGGCGATGCTGAGATTTGGTGGAAGACCATTTCTCACACCCATAATCTCGATACTATGACATATGCTACATTCAAGAAGTTGTATTATGAGAAGTACTTTCCAGCGCCTAAGCGGAGGGAACTAAAGAAGGAGTTTGATGGGTTAAAGCAAGGAAGTATGACAGTTACAGAGTATGAAAACAAGTTTACGTCACTTTTGAGGTTTGCACCGGGAATTGCTAATGATGAAGAAGGAAAGATAGAGAAATTTGTTGATGGCCTTGATCTTACCATTAGGCCAATTGTAGCTGCTTCAGAACCGACAGAGTATGCAAAAGCAGTGCGAAAGGCTTTAGTGGTTGAGGCTGAGAGTAAGGACAACAAGGCTATCAGGGAGTCCTACAAGCAAAACAGGGGTATGAGTACTTTCTCCGAAGGTCAATCAAGTAAGAAGCAGAAGCATGAGCAGTCAGGGTTCAGGGGACAGCAGCCAGTTAGATCTGCACCCACAGCTTCAGTGTCCATGGGGTCTTCTAGACCGAATGTTACTTGTTTCAGATGTGGGCAGTTGGGACATTACAAGTCCCAATGTACTCAGACACAGGTAGCTCGGATGATTTGTTTCAAGTGTGGGCAGCCAGGGCATCACAAGTCCCAGTGTACTCAGATTCAGGTGGCGTCTGGTGGATGTTTCGGGTGTGGCCAGCAGGGCCATAGGGTGAAAGATTGTCCACAGCGGGGTAGTGGTTTGGGCAGAGGTGGAGGTTCACAGCAGAGGCAGATGCAGTCTGCCACAGTTCAGTCAGGGTTTCGACCACCACCACCACCTCAGCCGTCTCAGCCAGCTATGTTAGCCCAGAGTTCTCGACCTGGTAGGGGAGCTTCTTCGAGTGCACCTACTCAACAGTCTGGCTATCAGGCAGGCAGTTCCCAGGGGCAGAGGACCCAGGGTCGCGTGTTTGTACTCACTCCAGCCGAGT